ATGTACTCAACATGGCATGACTCAGCGTTGTTGTCGTGGTCTTTCTTATGTACCTTATCTTTTTTATTCACATTAAAAAAATATATCATACTGTCTCCAGCCTAAAGTTGTTCTTCAGTAGTACTATGTATCATATTGTTATTAACACGATACGATTGATCGGTGTAGACAATGATGTGACCTCCACATATGACCTCATAAATTAGATAATCAAATCATGACAAATCTATACTTTTGGGATTAATATAACAGTACTAATATCGTAGTTGTCCACTCTGGGACGTATCCAACAGCGAGCCACGAAATCAGTTGGGGGACTGAAATTCAAGCCTTATGAATAGAGCCTTCCATCACTGGACTTTTACCTACTAGAGTACAGGCGTTTTAGACGGGGCTTTCTAACAGCTTACTTCATCCTAAACACTTACGGATATCCTCTTAAACACCTACCTAAGCTTAGTCCAAACGAAACCCGAAGGAAAACATCCAGAAACTGGAGACGACACAGAATAACACTGTAGACATACCTACTACTCCTTAAGAGCAGTCAAATGCTGGAATTCGCTGTCGGCTGAGCTATACGAAGCGAATTCCCAGGAGTCCTTTAGGAAAGAACTTGATATATTCTTCAAGATTAATGATAGCATCTTACTATGATTTGCCAGTTTGGTCTTCTTTTTCCTCTTTAATCGACAATATTACCTGGGTTCCTACCTAAAGATGTTGGTCATTCACTGCTACTAGACACGAAGTCCTTTAAATACAAGTTTCTTCAGTTCCTTTCAAAATCATATGACATTTACGTGACAATATTATTGGATATTGTACCGCAAAAGGAGGTAACACTGAGTTCATTCGTTACATCTATTTGCTACTCTTTTAGATTACCTACATTTTTACAGATAATCTATTTGCGTTTCAAGTGTAAGTGATCATGGTTGATTTTCCGGAATTCAGCTCGCATTTTTTTTACGTGGCTTTTTCTCTTTAATCACTTTTTGTTGGAATACTGATCAACCTCACAAAATTGGGCAGAAGCTGTCAGTTGTTAATACAGCATAAATTTATAGATGTCAGTCTTAAAGTCCTTAGTGGCTCGATAAAATTCTTGAAAATCGGTCACATGTAAATTTTCCACTGATTTCTATCTACACCTTTTGCACACATAAAAAACAGTCTCCTCACAGGAATTTGATTCTAAAACTTCCCAATTTCTTTTATTTTGCGATTTCGGCACCGTTTCTCCAAAACGGACAAACTTTCCTTGAAGTGAGAAATAGGTTTCTTTATCTTATTTAACGTAGTATTGATTAGTCTTGTATTTCATCCATTAATAATGAGAAACTATCTTTTGTTTCAAATCTGGGTAACTATGAACGTGTCTTTTGTGTGAATGTATACTTATTTATTTTTGAACGCACTGATGTACTTTTGGCCAGGTTACAGCATATACATTTTGAAATTAATAACGGTCAGGTATCAATAACCCTTCGAGCATTCGTGTTGCGTAAACTCGTGCACTTTTTCTATGGTTTTTGATTCAGTGGTGGAATTAAGGTTTAAACTGTAATGAATCGGCTGTTGAGACTTGTATATTTCGTCGTCTAAACTCGTTTTTCCTTTATATCAAACCATGTCCCTGTTTATCATATGTACATGGGTAAATAACCATTTATGTTTTCAGAATGTCATAAGTAGTCATACCATTATATTATCGAAATGAATTTGCATGAGGAATTCAGTACGTTTAAAAACATTCAAACTGATATGTTATTTTTGGTAGTTATAGCTTAATTTGAGTGTTGTGGCAGTGATAATGAGAGATTGAATAATAATAAAACAGTTTAGGGAGACGATTAAAAGGTATATGTGGAGGGTTTACTTGAACTTCAAATCTAGTATAGATACGTTGAGGTTATTCAGACCGCCTTTGAGATTTTCAGCTACTGATCACTGACCTTAACCTCATGATTTACTTTTATCGACATGACTGAGATCAAGAGTGTCTGCCCCTAGCTTTCCTTCAACCCACCTACATACCAGTTATACGTACATCAGAATAAAGGTTGGTTCAGTAGACGTAATGTATTCTAACCATTTCAATCGATGAGGATTCACAACCTCAGTCAATTTATAATTTTTGCCTAATATCTTATGCCGTACCTCAGGATTGATTTCGGTCGTTCCACGTAACTCCAACAGTGGTTTAGAGGTATCTATGGTCGAACAGTTGCGACCTACGAATATCGGCTATTTCCATAAACCACGTTTCATAGCCATAAAGTAGGACAGAGCAAACTCCTGAATGAAACACTCGTTCTTAGTTCTTCAGATGGAAATCTAACAGAAGTCACAAATTGGGCAAACAATTGAGTTTTCTAAATCCTTACCCAGATTTTGTCGCTGAGAAGTAAAGTGCACAACGTATTTAACTGCCACTAGTGTAGTCATGAAGATTTAAATCATTTTACAGATTAAAAATCAGCCCCCGTATATTATCTAGCTCATTAAATTCACTTGGTATTTAGATTTCTCCGAACTCTTATGTTATCCTTTTAAGTTTTCAAGGATGCTTTGGTTACGTTTCAGGACATATTGACCCTACTATGTCTCTATGACTTACGATTTACATGAATAATAATTCGACATTTCAGATGGCGTTTTATGGTGCTCCGTTTCCCAGATATATAACTTATACAGATTGGTTACATGATGCATGTAATACTGACGATGTTTATTACACATATAATGGGCGCATAGTAAATAATATGGAAGAAATTCCAGAATGTGCTTTGTTGCAAGTGCACTATCGTTTGCGCGGTGGTAAAGGGGGTTTCGGATCTATGCTACGAGCTATTGGGAGTCAAATCGAGAAGACAACCAATCATGAAATGTGCAGAGACTTATCAGGTAGGAGAATGCGTGATGTAAACCTGGAAAAAAAATTAAAGGAATGGTATGCTACGGCTGACGAACGGGAACGTAAAAAAGCAGAGGAATATGTTGAAAGACGAAGAAAACGTCAAGAACTTTTAAAACAGGGTCTTCTACCTGAACATAGTTTTTCAGATCGTGAATATGAACGACAAAAACGCAAAATTGCTTACGAACTACGGGGAGCCTTGGATATAGGTAAGGTCGCTTGATACAGAATTCATTACACTGAATTTAGCCATAGAAAATGTTAAAAAAGAAAAGAAACAAACGGAAGTTCAACCTGTAATTCCTTCTGAAAGGCAGCTGAATACAAAGCGTACTCGATTATGGATAGAAGAAATGGACAAAGAACTGTCTTCGGGTTCTAGCGATGAAGAAATTTCGGCTAGCTCCTCATTTGACATTTCCTCTAGTCTTGCAAAACAAGATGATAACTTGCCCGTCAAAGATGATACCAAAGCCAAAACGGATTCTACAGAAATGCTTAACAGTATTAGAACAGATGTAATCGGTAAGTTAGTATCTTGTTCACTATGAAGAGTTCAATATACATTGATGCACTCGATTGAACTTGCAAGATAGTAAGTAACCTCGGTAGCCACTGGGAAGTTTAGAAATCGCCCTAATTGTTATCGTATAAGAGACCGAGTAGCTCTGTTTTCTCATCATAATCATTCTAAGGCTTGGTATATTTGAGGCCATAATCAGTTATACTTTCCACCACATTGTTCGAAATTCTTTAAGCTTAATCATATTAAAAACATGTGGAAAAAACAGTCGTACGTTAATTGAAGTACTACTGTCAATTTTATTCCATACTGTGTACTTTTTTGTTAGCTTTCTGGTTTCAATCCCTTAACCTCGATAACGTGTGGCGCATATATATTTGGTGCCCCCCCTGTACCAATATTTATGTGTTCAAATAAATAATAAATAAACCTCGATAACTGATAAGCCATTGTTCTTGTCTACCGTGGAATACTATATGTATGAATGCAGAGGTTATAAACTGCTCTAGCTGTAAGTCTTTCACAGCCGTTTCGTGTTGAATAGTTGTTAATCTACGAATAGGTTGAATGTGTGTTGATTATAACTGCGATTATAACCGCATTTTCATCAAGCTGGACTCATCAGTTTTTTACCTGTATGTTTTCTGGTAATATTAGATGTTTCCTAACTTACGGAATCCACCAACAGTCGATACAAAATGTTCGAAAGTTAGTAACATAGACTAGCTTACGAATTATTATCGTACGATGACTCCACTTCTTAGCTCTACTGTACATGTATTTTAAACAAAAAAGTAGACGATAATATGGATAGATGAGGTCCAATGACAAATCAGCTGTTGGAATACGTTCGGACAAGAAATGCCAATGAAAAGATTATTTTTGTTGCACAACGATAAGAATACTTTTTAGTGTCAATAAAACGGAACACAATAGGTGCATTGACATGTTTCCAAGCAATGACAGTAAGTAAAATTCCTTAAATCTATTAATTATATAGGTTGGTCATCTGTTGTTTCTGAACGACTGATGAAGAAGAAATTTAACTATAGTAATTCATTTCTTTTTCAAATTTCAGTTGAAGATAAAAAGGAATTGCAAAGTGCTTGTGGAAATACCTCAAGAGAAACCGCACAACCTTTGACTGACCAACAGTTGCGTGAAGTAGTTACTGCTGAAAATCTTGAAGTGTTCGGCTTAGATGTCCTTAAAGCAACCTTAATGGCTCGGGGTTTAAAGTGTGGAGGAACGTTAAAAGAACGAGCTAGCCGTTTGTTTTCAGTTAAAGACTTAAGTTCCGAGCAATATCCTGCAAAGTTACTAGTAAAGAACAGATAATTCTGATTTGCCTGAGATGCCTTTTAGAAATTTATGTATAATTTTAAAGATTTGTTTTCGCATATAACAGTATATATATGCATACAAAATGAATTTTTAATGATAAGGACTAAATCTAGGGGAAACACTCATTTTCCGGGTAATTGCTAGTGGGTACGTTGACATGCGTATCATGTTCGTCTAAACCCTTTATAACCGATGAGAAGTCATACTTTTCACTTTGGTTTAAACTTGTATTATTCTCAGCTCGAAATCCATAATAGACTCTCAGGAAACGAAAGAGAAATATACAATATTAATGACTACATATACATAAAACGTATTATTGATAAATAAAACAGTACAAGACAGGTCACAATCATTCTGTTTTCGAAATAATTTGATATATTTTAAGTAAATATGAAATAAAAGTTAATAGCATAGTGAACTTTTTCAAAACACAAAGCAGTCACAAGGAAATGAAAAGTAACATCACAATTTGTTTACTGCAGGAGTCAAAAAAGACTGAATAAATGACATCTGGGGGAAATACACGAAAAAGTGATCGCCTGAGACATTAATTGAAATATGGCGCTGAAAGAGACTGTAATAGTATTTTTCTCGAAAGGAATCGATGTGCACATCAACGAGTAAATAAATCCCAAACAGAAGTGGTTAGTGAAACATATTTTCTATTATGAATCACAGCCCATTGTACATGCTTCTCTAGATAAGTTAAGCATTATTGTAGTACACAACTTTTGTCGATTCTACGCCTCCCATATGACATATAACCTGCGTTCTGCTCCAGTTCTAGTTCTTCAGCTAATCTTTAAGTTACAAAAATCGTAAATGTTAAAAATACAAACAACTTACACTTTCTCATGCAAATCCAATTCTTGAATGATGTCATCACGTTCATTGACCAATCGTACAAGATCTTGTAAAAGAAGATCTTCTCGTCTTCGATCATTATCTGTTTTCAAATAATCTATTTTATTTTGAGAAAAGTTTAACCGATTAGTATGAAATTTTAATGAAAACACAAATTACACGCGTTGCATTAAGGAAGTTTAATAACTGAATGTGACTCGTTAAACAAATACATTTGTAACTAATGATACTACGTGATTGTCCAATGCTTGAATGATGAATTTTAACGCTGAAGACAACAAATACTTTATGCCCATAAACGTGTGGTAACATTTTTGTTGTCGTAATCTTCAGGTGGTGCGAGTTCATTTCTCACATTTATAGGATAAAGTAAGACACTCAGCTGGATTTTCGGAGACCCAGATAAGCAAATGTAACGATATATAGAAGTGATATAGTTTGATTTAAGCCTATGAAAATTCAGAGATAAGTACTAATCGGTTTTTGTCATGAGAACAAATTTGTTTTTCCCTTATGTTAGCAACCAAATTCATACAGACATAGAAAAAATTGGCGGAAAACGTAGAGCGTTTAAAGTTCAAAGCTGCTTACTTTCTTTAGGTGAAAAATGTACACCAAACATATGAATCGGGCGAGTATATTATAAGCTTAAAATATGCAATATCAAGCATTACGCCTAACTGCCCGTAACACATGTCCATTTGTATGAAAAATTTTACTGTCTCCACAAAAGGCTAAATTATGGTAAACACTTTATATGTGTATTTATTTTATTTATTTATTTGAACACATAAATATTGGTACAAGGGGGCACCAAATATATATGCGCCACACAAAACAATGAGAATTTGAAAAGAAAACAAGGGGGTAAGGAGCGTAAAAAAAAGAACAATAACGAACAGATTAGTGTAAGGTAGTGTGATAGTAGTAATAATGGGGGAAACGGAAAGGTACAATCAGAAAAAATCTTTCAGTTAAGGAAGATACAACCACTTTTTATGAAGAAAGTAAAGTAAGGTTACATCACGATCGCCACCGACTTCTATTCTGAGCCATATCTAATAACGTCTTTAGCCACTGTGTTACACCATCTCTCGGACCCCAGCCAGGGAGTCGTGAAGGACTAACACAAACCAGCCCTTTGCAGCTTCCTTTCGTACCGCGACACGATGTCATACACTGACCATCTCTCCGCTTTTTCCAACCAGTCTCAACGTCGGCAAATAAAGCACAACGTGGAATTCTCTGGGACGACATTCGTAGAACATGTCCAAGCCACCGAAGTCGGTGTTTCAAGATGGTGACACCAATCGCATTATCGTCTCTGTGCCCGAACACACGATGCCGAACCTCTGCATTACTAACATGGTATTGTCACTGGATGTTAGCAATCCTTCGGAGACAACGATGATCGAACACAGAGAGTCGTCTAACATCCTCAGCTCGGAGAGGCCAGGTTTTGCAAGCATAGAGGGAAACTGCTCTCACCGACGCGTTGTAGATCCGACCTTTTACAGCCAGACTGACATCACGAAGGCGCCAAAGATGGCCCAGATTGGCATAAGCCGCTCTGGCTTTCACTATACGTGCATTGATCTCATCACTCACGCCACCGCCAGCACTTATGCAACTACCCAGATACACGAACTTCTCGACTACTTCTATCTGCTCACCATCTAGTGTAAAGTTGAAGAGGAATGGTGAGATTGGGCAACCCTGCCTAACTCCACTCCTTTAATGGAACAATGGAGAGAGGTGGTTGTATGCTCTCACTCTGCCTGAGGTGTTTGTACATAGGGCCTTTAAGATGTTAATCAATTTCCCAGACACACCCTCCTTCAATACACAATCCCAGAGAACAGTCCTATCCAACGAATCGAAGGCAGCCCTGATGTCAAGAAACACAGCGATTGTTGGCCTTTGATAAGTATGGCGGTGTTCTAACATTTGGCGGAGGGTGAAGATATGATCAATACATCCTCAACCAGAACGAAACCCAGCCTGCTCCTCGCGAGTCAATCTTTCTCGGGTTCTGAACAACCTACGAAGTATGACGGAAGCCAATAGCTTGGACGCAATCGGAAGTAGACTTATCCCCCGATAGTTGTTACAGGAACGACGTGAACCCTTTTTAAAGATAGGGACAACTATCGACTCATTCCATGACGTTGGTACACTCTCTAGTTCCCAGACCTTTGTAAACAACGTCGTCAGTCCCTTGGTCAGAAAGTCACCACCATCTTTAAAAAGAGCCGGAGGTAAGTCATCTGGGCCCGGTGATTTGTAACGTTTTAAGAGTTGGAGTTCCTTGCACACTTCCGCCTCATTTGGTGGATCAGTCGTCACCGGCCATAAAGGGCAGGACAATCTGACCGTTGTTGCCGGAGCAGCAGGCCAGTTGAACTGCCATTCGAAAAATTCTGCCCATCGTCCAAGACGTCGATGGATGTTAGTGATTGGTGTTCCGTCATCCTCGCAGATTGTTTCGCTCACACCAGACTTCTTGCTGCCAGTGGCTCGGATGAGTTGGAAGAGCTTCCGGTAATTACCAGATGCAGCTGCTGCTTCCAACTCACTGGCACGCTCCGACCACCAGGCTACTCGGTCCTTACGCAAGCTTTGCCCGATTTCATTACGTAACATCCTTCGTCTGTGGTCAAACTCACGGTCACCCGGAGCAGACCGACGGACTTCAATCAGTTGTAAGGAACCAGAAGAAACCCAGTGCTTGTAAGCGCGACGTCTCAAGAAGCTTTATATGTGTAGTCTGTCATTAAATATAAAATACAGAACAAACTCAGAGACAACCACACAGGGAAAGGCAGAAATCACTAGAGGATGGGAAAGTTAGGTTTTTGAGCACAAAATTAAGAACCGAAATCACGAAAAATGGCATGTCTGGCACCTTGTAATTTGTTCAAAAGGTAAGTGATTGCATCGTTGTTATAACACAAATATACCAATTATTTATGGTTATCCTATAAGGCAATCTTGTTTTCGCGTAATTTTAGTAGCTAAGTCTGTGTGTCAGTGGTGATATCCAGTTAAATTTACCTTCAACAGATAAAATCGATCGTAATTCATCCTGCAACATTTTCATTTTCTTTTTCAAATCGTCTTCCTTCTCCCTGAAATAAATAAACAATTTGTTATTGATGTAATTGTATAATAACATTTTGGTGAAAAATTGTATTATCACGACAGACTCAACTAAGAATAAAAGTGACGATTATCGGCGTAGGTTCTAAAACGAAAAAGGATCAGGGTAAATGGGATGGTTAAAATACAAAATAGTTTCAAAAATTTAATTGGATTACAGTGCGCTTCGAAGAAAGTATCTAAATTTTTAGATAATATGTTATGACGAGTGTTGTTGGAGTTTGATACTGATAAACGAACTTCTTGTACGCAGGTCTAACTGGCTACCAGTGAGAAAACTACGAGTAAAGAAAGTTTGACGTGCTAAACCGCTACACATCTATTCATACATATACCTACTCCTTAGGGAATGAAATCATTTATTGATCAATAACTTGCACGTGACTGGGAAAAGGTGATCTCATTTGGCAACTTTTGACTGCCTTAATTTCGCAGAAGCTAGACAAATCACAGCGGAATAAATGGTAGTGAGCTTAAAAGGAAAATGACTTTTTGACAACCTACTGGATTTATTTGAATGTACTCTATTCTCTTTATTCTGTTTTTCACGCTTCTGTCTTTAATGTAATCTGGTTTAAAATATCTCAACAAAATATGACCTAATATTGCTTTAGTTTAACAGAGGACGTCTCTTGGAAGTATCCAACAAATCTGTTTGATTTTCCGAACTCGATGTTATCGCAATAATCTAATGAAATAGAAGCAATGTTGTTGAAATAAATGTCATTGTATAAATTGAGTTAAAAACGTATTTATTCAGATAACATATAGATTGAAATATTCATTAGTAATAAATCACATCACACTTATAAGACGGATAAAAGGATAAACAGCCTTACATTATAGACAACTGGAAGCCCCGATGGATTAGGGCATTCTTCTTATTGACTAACATAAACCATCGTCTTAACAATTCTTCTTCTAATGCGGTGCCTGGTTCGTATGCCATTTGTTGGCGTAAACGCTGCTCTAGTACAGCTGCTTCTTTATCTAACTCCTTTTGCGCCTCTTCTAATTCAGCCTGCTCATTGCTGATATAATTCGAAACGGAGAGAAGTGCATTAGACGAACTGTTATTGACTGAAGAGCCTATAAAAGATGAAAATATTGTAAATCGATATAATGAATGGATATAACTGAATCTCATAAATTAGTAGAAACAATTCTGGTTTAGGAAAGAAATCAGTCTTTTGATCAAAACAAGTCTATTCACATAAACAAGATACTTATACATCCAGATTTTTAGATCAATATAATTTGTAAACTAGCGGAGAACAACTTTCATCGGCAAGGAGTTCTTCATTATAATACTTTTATCTTAAAAAACTTGTTTTCATTATGCGGTTCTTATACTTCAACGTAAATAAAAGTAAACAACCGTTACGCCGTATTAATTACCCTGTTAAACGACTGAACAGTTGTTTAGTATACAATCGTTTTTGACAGTAGGTAAATTAGTTGGCCAATCTTATTATGAATTTAATGTAATTAACCGTAGGAAGTAGAGAAGTCCCATACGCTACTTTTAATAACGTTCCGACAAGAAGTACCTACTTTGTGAATTGCAAAGAGCCAAATAAACAGCTGCAGACACCAATATTAATAACAATGTAGTATACAAAATTAGATCTGGAATCGAATAACACTCGAAGGTCACGAAGCAATGTGACTAATTAGAGTTGTTACATAATATGCTTTACAACACTAGCATACATTTTAATCATAGTTTATCAAAATATACACTTTCTATGTAACTAACCTTGATTTTTGATCTTAATGAATAAAACGAGTTCCACAAATGTTTGTTCACCGAAGGATGTAATAAAAGTGAAGTATAAAAAATTAAAGATGAAAATAGTGTATATCTAATAAACATAGTATTTATATGATATTGTAAAAAATAATAGTAACTGTAAGTCATCAACTTTGATAAGTGAAGAACTCATTGCTGATTGGGATTTTCTAACCAGTGTGAGAGGAATAAAACGTGTATCCTCAATGACGTGAATAAAAATATCCTGACAAGATTCCTAAAATATTTCTGCATAAAAATCTTAAGTACGATGTCTTTATAGAAATGTAAATAAAAATATGTTAATGGTTTACGACCAAAGAGTAGAATACATCGGTGCTGAGAGATTCATGTCATTGAAAAAGAAATGACGCATATTTCAAATTTTTGTTGGCTGATACACGAACTAAAACATGACAAAAAAGTCTGCAAGTGTAAGTAAACTTTAATCGTTAAGATGAAACTACTAAAGAGAATTCAGCCAACATTCAGAAACAAAACACTAGTCACTTCCTCCTAGTCCCGATCGGAAATGAGTCTGAAAATTTAACTTGTAAATGAAAATTGAATTATAAAGAGGAAATAAGAACGCCTTGCCCTCAAAACTAGAGTTTATAGACGAAACTACCAAGGAAATAATACCGATGATAAGAAAAGCTCCGCAGAAAAACAAACCATATGCTTTATTCTGAAACGATTTTATCCTCAAAACCAAAAATAAAGACAAACTTATTCAACTAAACTGCTCCTGTAAAACTAGTTATATAAGCGAACAATTCGGGAATTCCGTCACCAAATAGCTGAACATTGTGCTTTATGATCAAGCAAAAGCTAATTACTTATCGTACGTTTCTTTCTATCGACAAAATTCACACTGAACCTCTAAATAAAGTGTATACAAACGCTTTCGCTCCTACTTCGGTCATCATAAGCTGCACTGGAGCCACTTGAAAAATATGAAACACTAATTCCAAATAAGCAGTTCTCGATTGTATTCGTTTTTTGCAATAAAATAATTAATTTAAATATTTCAACTTACAGAAGTGAAGACATGAGTTCGGTTATCCGTTTTATTATCCAAATGATGTTCACCAATACGTATAGGTACTGGTGCACCACTACCTCGACCCGACGCAAAAAGATTCATTTGTGACAGACGTAGACGTCTAACTTTCATTTGTTCCGGAGAAAACCTTGTGTCAATAGTTGACTGTGGTGGTTTACTAAGTGTTGGAAAAATATTACTCGTTGAAAATCGAAATGGCTTAGAAATGGAATTTAATGAGGTATCAACATTCGGTATACATATTGTGCCTGTAAATTGGAGGTATAAATAGACTAAATCATATGTTTATCCAGTAATATGTGGTCCATGTAAACAAGCTAGAGAATGGGCACAAATATAAGCAACTATGAAGTAATTTCATAAGCTGACATAAATAAGTGCATTGTAAGAAAATATTCGTATTTGTATAGCATATCCATAATTTGAAACTAATTCACTAAGAACTTAGTAACTAAAATTGAGATTATGGATGATAAGCATTTAGATTCAGGTAGCTGGGTACTTTGGTAGGAAATACTATAATGTATGGTTAAGATGAAACACAGTAGTCCGTATTAATTAATAAATACAAATGTGATCTAGTTTCTCTCAGAAACGAGATTCAGAAATGGAACAATACAGAGCAGTTTCTAAATAACTTTACACGCTACACTACGGGTTTGAGTCATTCCACAAATTTGATCATTCTTGGTTAGTGGATCTCGGGTGTAGCCAAGCAAAGATCATAGCGAGCCCCAAAGGTACTGGTTAATTCATTGTATGAGAGCATTGGTAACCACCTTTAACTAGTTTTAAACTGAGATAAATAAATGTCTAAGGTTTTCACTGGGTGTTGGTTTGTAACAAAAATTGAAATAAAGTTAAAAACCGCTTATAAATGTAATTAGCTTCGTTCGACTAAAACTGTATACATCTGACTACTACGTTTATGATTTCCCCCCTCTTATTAGTTGCATCTGAATATTAGCGAGACTTTATTGTAGAGCATTAGTCTTTAGGCTTATACATAAGAAGACCAATAAATCGGTATTATTTTGTTCAAACAAAGCGTTACTTTTTGATCTAATAAAAGAAGTGAGCATCAATAACCTCATGCAACCGGAACTATTCATGATAACAATAGAACACGAACCTGAATTACAGAAAACCCTCATCCATTATTTAATGTGTAAAATGGATGAAAGATGATCAGTTAATCAAGTCAAGTATACTCAGCTGAATAAAGCTCTGGTCTATTTGGTAGTGTGATCAACATTCAATTAGTTAATAAGAATTTGCGACTGAACTGTACCGAGAATTCGGTAACCAATCAGTATATATCAATGGCGGATGACTTTGTAAACGGTTGCTGAGTATCATTATTTGTTATATGCCAAATATACTAAATTACTTAATGTACATGTGTTTCGAGGAGATCAAATCGATCCTAAATTACCGATAAACTGGAAATATCGATATAAATAGTTACAGGCTAAAAAGAGCACTTGCAAGCAAGCTAAAACTAAGACAAATAATTGTTTACATCTTGAAAAGAAGCATTTTAATCAACACTACAACATACTGAGAAATTACTCGGCATTCAATCTGCAATTCATCACGTGACACATTCATATTACTAGTGTGCATACTAGCATAGCAAAAATAAAAGGACGACTGGCAGAAAAACAAAGTAATATGATATGAATATTCAGAAAATCTGGTAACGCTATGCGTTTAGAAATGAACAATGAGGATATCTCGGGTTATGATATTTCGGTGCCGTCTAATGCTTGAGAACTTTGATTTGAGCTAAATCAAAAGAGCTCGCACTAGAAACTGACATCCATCTAACAACACTACTGGCCCGATGCTATAGTTCCTGGTAACCTCACAATCTTGTATATGTGATTTCATGCTTCAAGCTGAAAAATTATTTACTATAGTCAACACTGCCTAAAAACTAGAGAAACAAAGCTACAAATATCAAAGCAGTAACAGACGGAGATATTATTTAATAAAGGCATAAAACGTTTTCGGCTAAGGTGTATGAAATATATCGTTCAGTCTTCGCAAAAAAAGAAATGACGCGATCATATTGCAATTAGTGGGACATCTATTCCGGCGGGTTTTAATAATCTTGTGATCATTCGTGTGAATTTGCGATGGTATATCGATTCGCCAAACACCTGATGAATTTGCGAGAGGAGCCATTTTACAGAATGCAGCGTTTGATGTTTTTCGCTAAGCTCTGAAGTGTGTTCTAGCTCTTCTTACAAGTGTTTGTATGCTATTATTTTTATTGTTAGGCTCCTACTGATTTGTGAGAATTGGCTTCTTTTATGATAATGTTTACGACGTTTTTGTTTGTTTCGTTGGATAAAATCAGGACACCCAACAATAGAATTTTGTGATTTAACAGTTTTCTATTGACTGAAAATGCTACTGATCAATCAAGGAGTACTTTTTGAGTTTGTCTCAAGGAAAACAAACGCATCATCTATATATTATTCCCAAAAGTTATGGTTTTATTGTTGGTGATATTTCAGCATCTAATTATACCATCATAGCTTCTGAGATTAGTCCTGATGAATGTATCTGAGTTAGAGTTCTATTAGTCGGTTAAAACGTTTGAGAAACAAATATGGAATGAGTTGTAAGATGTTAACCAATGAGGCTTAACTGAAATGTATGACAACGAAAGAAGACAAATGCAAGACCGTCGACAAAACAAATTGCACCAGGTATGAGAAACACTTTATGTGAGAGGGTAGACTCTACATTTAAATAACGATACATAAACACATTACAGAAAGAATACAATATATTTGCACTTATATGAATAGTTGTAAAAGATTGCAGATACGCGCTTAGTTAGGAAAATGCCATCATTTAGACGGAAATGAGGTGATTAGGTTAATCTGCAACTAACTACTTACTGTACTGAAAAAGTTAATCAGTAAGAAATCGGTCCCAAAAATAATAATCACACAGAGAAAACTAGTCGTCAACATAGTCAGTAAGATTAACTACTCAATTGGTAGTAGAATGAAATTTAAAAGTGCTTATATTGTTCAAAATAACAATGAAAATTTTATAAATAGATTGCCCAACTCAGAACACAAACATAATCAAGAGTATTCTATGAGCTATAAATTGTTTTGACCGATATTCTAAGGACTATTTTTTTTGTAGCAATGACATGAATATTGGTAATGATCAATTTCTATCTACATGAATTCAGTTTATCTGTATCAAGTTCATAATATGTAATTGATAATACTTCAAAATTATTTCTAAAATGGAATAACAATGTACTATTAAATATTATATTGATTATGCTAATAGATTAAAATATAATAACCGATAATTTTCCTTTTTTTTGAACTTATTTCTGTGGTAAAATTATAAAATGATCATCTACATTGAAATCTATCTGTATAAGATTAATCTTTTTTTGAAAAAAAACAAATAAATAATCAAACAAACATTTAATTAATGTCAGTTTTATGTTTATCATCATTAAAGTTTTAATAAAAGTAAATTTAAACAAATTAAAAAACTACCATCTGAATTAAATCTGTACAAAGTTTTATGCGATTTTCGATGTTCTAAATAAATAAAAATGCATTTATTTATTCGATTATTCCGAAATAATATTTTGTATAGGTAAACAAAATTATATAAATAATAATATGAATGTCATTTTACACACAAACCAATGAACATTATCAAGATACAAGGCAGACAATAGGCATTAACATAGCCGTGCATATATATATATATATATATATATATATATATATATATATATATATGCAAGTGTATTCAGTCATATTATAGACATCAAGAAAATTATGCAACCAAAGCAATATTGTTGAATGAAGAAATAAACGAATAGCATTCACATCAATTTAATATAAGCGCAGTGTAATTTCAATGGAAATAAGTAGATATATGATAGTTCAGTAGGTAATACGTGCGCATATCCATATATATATATATATATATATATATATATATATATATATATACGTAGATAAATGGACATAGATATAGATTAATATGATAAAACGAAAATTGGTGCATGAAAAAGGGAAAAAAAAGTGTTAAACATTATTATTAGAAGGTAGTAAAAACCAAGTGAGATATTTAATTTTTTCATAAAAATAATAAAACACAAACAATAAATTTAATCAACTTTTTATACTAAAACAATCACGAAATTATAAAAACTTATTGGAGATAATTGCTGTTGCTTTCTTTGAGTAAATGGACATTATTGTGTTATTACAAACTAATCTCTGTAAAAAAATATACATTTGAGCTTATTATTATCTCTCAAAACTAACTTCTAATAATAAGCAAAGTATGTATAATATTTTCGTATTTGTGTACTAATGTGTATCTAACTCCGTCTGTAGCTCTTCTAGAGTTACTACCCGTCCCATGCTCGGGTAAAGGAGAAGGGTTGGGCATGGGAACGGCAACCCCATCCCGTAGAAAATAATCGTGCTTAAAACACGCCAACCAGAACAAATAATTCAAACTTTGCCCTCCGAGTGGAAAGAAGAATTATGAAGCCTCATGTTGAAAGCCGATATTCATCAGAAGCCACTGAGTGGTGGATCAATATCATATGTGTCAGATCCTTTATGGCGCAGATCGAATCCTATCGACCAAGTTGCAATGTGGCCACTAGTTTAGGTGACTCGACATTGCGTGCAATGTGGTGGTGATCAATTAATTGTAAATACACCTCAGTCCTACAGGAGTTCAGTCGCGGCCCGGATAACCCAGTGTTAACGTCTCTGACTATGAAGTTGGGTGACAAGGGATCAAATCCGTCAAGGAGCATCAGTTCCCTCAAGAGTGCAGGTACACCTTGCTGACGAGTACCAAAAACTAAAGAGGAATCCCACAACTGTCAGTACCAGAAAAAGATTTCAACAGAGTTATCGAACCGATGAAAGATTCAGTGGATGTTCAGCTTCCAGATCAACAGATCGGATTCCATAAGGATCGGTGTACATGGCGGGTCCACCTAGGGGGTTGGAAAATCATGATTACAAGCACATGGGCTCCAGGATCCTGAAGAAACAAATGGCATGTGAACCAATCGTTGGTCAACGGCTACCATGGAAATGCGTTTTCTTACGTTGCTCCACTACCTTGTGGATCAGACCTTTAGGTGAAAGGGTCCAGGCCTGACTCGCTAAGAAAACCACCTGCTTCAGTCTGGGCAACCGGGCAGTATCACAGCTCACACACAAATCAAGTGCGCCTCTTCGTACCAATATTTGTGTTCAAATAAAAAAAATAAAAGACCAAATCGCAACACTACGGATCATTGTTGGACAAACGATCGAATGGGACTCGTCACTATGCATCAACTTCCTTGATTATGAGAAAGCATTTGACAGTGTGCGGGTTAAGAAAACTAGTGTGGCAGAAGCCTCTGCATCAGTAAGCTTCAACGTAAAGAAGGGGAAAAGCAAGATCCTCAAATACAACAAGGAGAACACCAACCCAATCACTCCATGTATCTGGACAGCACCATCGACGGACGAGGAAGACGGGATACAGACGTATAAGCAATGATCGGCAAAGCGATGGTCGCATTCCTACATTTGAAGAACATATGGAACTCAAAACAACTGTCAACCAATATTAAAATCACAATTTTCAAAACGAACGTCAAGTCAGTTAGTCCTACAATACGTAGTTGAAACTTAGAGAACTACTATAACCATCATCAAAAAGAAACATTCATTTATAAGCAACTGTCTACGTAAGATACTCAATGTTCGTTGGCCGGATACCATCGGCAGCAGTCTGTGGGAGAGAACAAACCGACTTTCAGCTGAAGAGGAAATTAGGAAAAGACATTGGAAATGGATAGGACATACATTGAGGAAATCATCAAACTGCATTACGAGGCAAGCACTAACATGGAATCCTGAAAGGAAACGGAATAGAGGAGGACAAAGGAACACACTATTTGGTAATTGTAAGGAGTTATCAAAAGAATGAATAATAACTGGAAAGGATCGCCCAGGACAGAGTTCAATGGAGAATGCTGGTCAGTGGCCTATGTTCCTCCACGAGGGGTAACAGGCGTAAGTACGTAACTAGTGTCTATCTAACTTAATTTTGACGAAACGGATTGATATATGAAGAAGTTGGAACTAACTAAATGAAGTCTGTTACCAACATAAATTTACTATTCGTTTAAGGAATCAAAGCAACAAATTGTTTCAGTCTAAAAACGTTTGTAATTTTATATTACACGCAAAGAAAATAAAGTTTAAACAATAGTATTATAAAAATAAAGCAATTTCCATTATTTTCAATATGATAGCGTATAAAGTTATAAATACCTACAGTTGAGTAACGTAAACAATAAACGTGAAAAAATAGTATTAATTAAGAAATTTGCATTCATTACTGAAACTCTATGAATGAATACATCGACTACATTATGCAGCATTTTTTTAAAATTTTTAGAAGAGCTGAATATATTCAGAGTTGATTAAATCAAATGAAAAAAATACATGATTAAGTAATATGAAATAAAGCAAATTCAAATTTTGAATACTTATTAACTGAATAATCTGTCATGAAAACGACTGAACGTACACATATAAGATGTGTGTACACTGAAGTCACTGATGATTCATCATTAAGATGCTTGAAAACAATACAATTCAATACCATATTATAATACTATCGTATTTTTCTTGAGAAGTAATTACTTAATAATTTCAACAGATTGATAGAACAAGCATGCATAGATAGGCTAAACTTTGCTACAAGACTTGGAGTCATGAACCGACCAGAAATGTAGCTAGTTTACTTGGACTATATTCAAGAGAACATTGACGTTCCTAAAAGAGCACAATATTTCAAATATATGTATGCTGGGTTCTTCCAATAATTTATCAACATTTTACATACATAGTGAGCCATTTGAATTCAATTTTTAAAATATATTAACCTAAAAAACACATATATTCACGTATGATTTAGGTGTTTAGGAATTTAACACTCAAGTCTGAAACTTGTTTTGTTATAATTTTTCATTTACTTAATCAAATAATATGACAGCCCCTCATACAACAAGAATAACTGAAAGTCAAGTACAGAAACGTGTACATGATAAACGTGAGGCACTACAGAAGAACGAGAAAAATTATTTAACAAAAATTAAATCTTACTTGTACATAACTTTGTATCAGTCAATCGATGATTTTGTCCTTCAGTTAATGTAGTATTCGTTAAACTTTCTTCTGTCATTGGATTTCGGTTAAAATTTTCATCTACTGAATGAATTGCTGTCAATGAACCAGATATAGGATGTGGTTTACGAGGATGCGCTAAAGGCGGTAAAGCACCAGGTCGACTTGTTGGTGCTAAATAATTTAGACGTGATTGTTGCAAGAGACTACGTGCTTTAGCCAACATATGTTCATAATTCATTAAAGGAATTTTCTTTGAAAAAAAAATGGTAAAAAAGAATGAATAGAATATTTTTTTTAATTAGTAAAGTAGAGAGCTGTTAGCATTATATTTAATCATTAATAAGAAAAATTCATGTGTAGAAACATACAATTTCGATACGTAAATGTCTTAGAAAATAAAAAGTACTTCCCAACAAGTTTTCATTCATAGATAATTGAGAGCACAATGAAAAATTGAAAAAGGTAGATTGATGAATAAAGTACTAAAATTTATCGGTTGAACTGTAACACTTTCCAAGGCCCTAATTTCTTAATCATTGGAAGACAAAACCTTACCGACATATAATCGTATAATCAATAACTAAATACTCAGATCATTTACTTTTATGATATTTATCACAAAGGTACTTTCCACAGAAAAATTATTTTTAGTTTATTTGTTGATTAATTTACCTTTGAACAGAAATATATTGACATATGAAGTTATCTAACTACTTGAAGAATGTCTAAGTAAAGTGATGAATTAATCGTTACGGAAATTAAATTAACCAAAGTTTTGAACCTCGTTTTATCGACATGAAGTAAAATCTATGTAAATATTCTAAATCATCCAATTTATTGATCCTCAAAAACTGCATAGGGTAAAAAATCTTGCGAAAAGAAAATTAGAAAAGTAATTGCCAAGGAACAGATAGGATAGAAAATAAGAAAAGATCATTAGAAAACCTATACACATTTATATAGAAACTGCAGTCAGTCAGTAATAAGCAAAATTGAATCAGGCACAGCATCTATAATCCGCATAATCTGAGACCACTAGTAATTTTTCAGGATGGAGATCTATCTCTGAAAAGTTAGATGAAACAAGTATGACTTTTAAGAAGACATCAATAAAAAAATTTAAGTAGGAAAGAGCAAAGTGGGCAACTCTGAATCACATCAATCTAGCTTGAAATCCATGACAAGACTCAGATTCGATCAGTAGCGCATAAGTAGAGAACACTCACAAGGTTTGTGTACTTCATTGGTAGGCCTGTCAACGAAAATCACCGACACAAAATATCGCTATCTACAAAGTCGAGTATCACTTTAAAATCAAGATATACAGCTATGGTAGGGGGTTAGTAGATACACCTATGTTCTAAAGCTTAAGGAAGAGTGAATATTTGAACAAAATATTCACGTCAACATTTGAAATATGACTACTTTTCCCAAGCCATAATTAAGTGTACAATGATTACAAAGGTTAATGTATTAAAAAATAATATCAGTCAGTGTTTCATCACTAGGTATCACAAAAGAATTTAAGTTATTCCTTGTAGAGATTGATATCAGTTAGTTAAGATTATGCTCGGTTATAAGACTCCAGCTAATATCGCAATAATTACAACTGCCAAAACTGAATCATCATCCTTAAGGAATTCCTGAACTAGTCTATCAGGTCCTACAGTACTTAAGTAGCATTAGAATAGCCTTTTCAAATTCACCAAGTGATGGATTGAAGGGCTAATATAAACCTTTATTCAGGCTATTTGGAAATAGTAGGTAACCGGAAACCGGATAGTCCTTTGAAATATTCTGGACTTAGAGTATACAACTATTTCGTCTTTGTGAGAGATAGCTGACATTTTAATAGTCATTACTCTTATAAGTCTGAAGATTTTTCTAGCCATACGTTAACTGTTGTCCTATCATAATAGTTTAAATATGTTTTACTATGATCATTTGCACATGTATTTTACCAGATCATAGTATAACAAATAACCATTTGAACTATAACGTTTATTATCAATAAACAAACTCAAGTTGAATGGTATCAAAATCAATTTATTCACATCAGACATACGAAACTCATATTTTTCGGCGACAAAAGACTACGATAAGTATGTAAAACTGAAAATGATAGGATGTATCGAAATCAGATCGTAAACAGTCGTTTCAGAAAAAAACTGACACATAAACACATTAACCTCAAAACCAAATAAATATGAGTGATTTAATCATTAGGAGGTACTGAATATATATATCAAGCCACAATTTAAAAAAAAACAATTATATGTGTTTGATATGTTTTAAACCGTGTTTAAATAAGGATACTAATAAAACACAAGTAACTATTCAAATCGCTTTGGAAGTGCGCCTAAAAAACCGAGTGAAAACAACATGATATTCCGATACAATACTTGTGTCTATTCCGTTTTGTAAATGTCTACATTTTTCACTCTGTCATTATTTAGTGAATTGATGTTTGCATAATGAGAAAGGTAAGAATGATGGCTTGAATCGACGCTAAAAACTTCGTCAGGTTTTAATAGATCACGTAACGAATAAGCCATTTAAATTGTAATTCATTGTTGTCATCATGGTCTTGATATTCTTTTCATTATGAACCGTTAAAAAACTAAAAACCCGGTTATATGATCATATATTATTCATAAGCAGTACAGAAAAACTAAGTCATGAAGAAAGTAGTTTTCTAATTCCAATATGATAGTCATTCGTCATCTTAAAATAAGTAAATCCGCCTATAGGTCTTCCAGAGTTACTGCCGGTCCCAAGCCCGGGTAAAGGAGGAGGGTTGAGCATGGGGTTAGCAACCCCACCCCGTACAAAAATAAATCGCTAAAAAACGCTAACCAGAAAAAATAATTCAAACCATTTAAGCTCTGCCCTGGGAGGTAGGTCTTCATTTAGAAGAAATATGACGCTTCATGATGAAAGCCGAGTTCCTTCGGAAGCCACGAGGCCGATGTCCCTTCTAACAACAGGAGTAACAATTTTTATAGGTACATGGAACGTTCGGACAATGTAGGAGACCGGCAAAACCAGTCAAACAGCAACAGAAATGAGGAGATACAACTTGGCAGTACTGGGAATCAGCGAAACCCATTGGACCCAGGCTGGACAACAAAGGCTAAATACGGGAGAGATGCTGCTATACTCCGGTCACAAAGAGGAAAATGCTCCACACACTCAGGAAGTTGCTCTAATGCTGTCCAAAGTAGCACAAAATGCACTTGTAGGATGGGAATCTCACGGATCCAAAATCATCAAAGCATCATTCAAAACAAAGAAGGAGGGGATCACAATGAACATTATCCAATGTTATGCACCCACCAATGATAGCAACGACGACGTTAAAGATCAATTCTATGAGAGGCTGCAATCAATCATAGAGAAGTGCCCAAGAAAGGACCTCACCATTCTGATGGGAGATCTAAACGCCAAAGTCGGAATGGACAACACCGGATATGAAGACATCATGGGACTACATGGACTGGGAGAGAGAAACGAAAACGGGGAAAGATTTGCAAATCTGTGTGCATTCAATAAATTGGTCATAGGCGGTACAATATTTCCACATAAACGTATACACAAAGCTACGTGGATCTCACCGGACCACACCACAGAGAACCAGATAGATCACATTTGCATCAATAAAAAGTTCCGAAGGACAATGGAAGATGTGAAAACCAGGAGAGGAGCGGACATAGCTTCAGACCATCACCTGGTTGTGGCCAATTTAAAACTGAAGCTAAAGAAGAACTGGACAACTGGACAAACAGCACCACAAAGGTTCAATACAGCCTTCCTTCGAGATACTGACAAACTCAATGAATTCAAGGTAGCTCTCAACAACAGGTTCCAAGCCTTACAGGATCTACTGAAGGAAGAAGAAACTACTATGGAGGATAGCTGGAAAGGTATCAAAGAAACATTAACTTCAACGTGTCAAGAGGTTCTGGGCCCCAAGAAACATCATCACAAGGAATGGATCTCTACAGAAACACTGGACAGGATCAAAGAAAGAAAGAACAAGAAGACAGCAATTAACAACAGTCGAACAAGAGCAGAGAAAGTCCAAGCACAAGCTGAGTACATAGAAGCAAACAAGAAAGTGAAGAAGAGCATTAGAGCTGATAAGCAAAAATACGTGGAAGAACTAGCAACGACGGCGAAGAAAGCAGCATAAGAAGGAAATATACAACCGCTTTACGATACAACGAAGAAACTAGCAGGGAAATATAGTAAACCAGAGAGACCGGTCAAAGACAAAGAAAGCAGGCCAGTCACTGAAATTCAACAACAGCGGAACAGATGGGAAGAGTAATTTGAGGAACTCCTGAATAGGTCGGCCCCAATGAATCCACCGGACAACGAAACAGCACACACAGATTTTCCTATAGATGTCAATCCACCAACGACGGAAGAAATCAGAATGACCATCAGACAAATCAAGAGCGGAAAAGCAGCAGGACCCGATAATATACCAGCTGAAGCATTGAAGCCGGACATCGAAGTAACCACAAACATGCCTCGTCTTCTATTCAAGATTTGGGAGGAGGAAGAAGTGACGATGGACTGGAAAGAAGGACACCTCATCAAGTTTCCAAAGAAAGAAGATCTGAGCAAGTGTGAAAACTACAGAGGTATTACACTACTGTCAGTACCAGGAAAAGTATTTAACAGAGTGTTGCTGAACAGGATGAGAGACGCAGTAGATGCCCAACTTCGAGATCAACAAGCTGAATTCCGTAAGGACCGGTCGTGCATAGACCGAATTTCGACACTACGGATCATCGTCGAACAATCAATTGAGTGGAACTCGTCACTCTACATCAACTTCATTGATTATGAAAGGGCATTTGACAGTGTAGATAGGAGAAGGTTATGGAAAATTCTTCGACACTACGGAGTCCCTGAGAAGGTTGCCAACACCATGCGGAACTCATACGACGGACTAAAGTGCATAGTAGTGCATGTAGGACAGCTGATAGATGCATTCCAAGTAAGGACCGGAGTCAGACAAGGCTGTTTACTCTCTCGCTTCCTCTTACTTCTGGTGGTCGACTGGATTATGAAGACCTCGACATGTGAGGGAAAACACGGCATACAATCAACAGCTCAGAAACAATTAGAAGATTTGAACTTCGCAGATGACCTAACCCTCCTATCGCATACATACGAACAAATGCAGACAAAGACAGCCAGCGTAACAGCAGTCTTTGCAACATTAGGCCTCAACATATACAAGGGGAAAACAAAGGTCCTCAAATACAACACGGAGAATAGCAATCCAATCACTCTTGAGGGCGAAACTCTGGAAGATGTGGAATCCTTCACATACCTGGGAAGCATCGTCGATAAACAAGGAAGTTCAGATGCAGACGTAAAGGCGAGGATCGGCAAAACCAGGGCTGCATTCTTTCAATTCAAGAACATATAGGACTCAAAACAACTTTCAACCAATATCAAAGTCAGAATCTTCAATACCAACGTCAAGGCAGTTCTACTGTACGGAGCTGAGACGTGAAGAACTACAACAACCACCATCAAGAAGTTTTTCTGAATAGCTGTCTACAGGAGATACTCAACATTTATTGGCCGGATACCATCAGCAACAGCCTTTTGTGGGAGAGAACAAACCAGCTTCCAGCTGAAGAGGAAATTAGGAAAAGACGATGGAAATGGATAGCACATACATTGAGGAAATCATCAAACTGCATTACGAGGCAAGCGCTAACTTGGAATCCTGAAGGGAAGCGGGAAAAAGGAAGGCCAAAGAACACATTACGTCGGGAATCAGATATAAAAAGGATGAATAATAACTAGAAAGAGCTGGAAAGGATTGCCCAGGACAGGGTTGGATGGAGAGTGCTGGTGAGCAGCCAACGCTCCTTCGCAAGGAGTAACAGGCGTAAGTAAGTAAGTAAGTAATCTTAAGATAAGTAGGTCACATTAACCATTGGAACCTAGAAATGTAAGAGAACCTTGCTCACTATGTAATCAGCATAGTCACACAAATCAAGTTATTGATGATAACAAAAATGTTGTTAGTCAATTGTCGGTTTATCGATTAGGCAGTTGCCTACAGTATCAAATACTGACACATATAAATACAGCAATCAAACAGAAATAATGTCAAAAACTACACCCAATACACCTATGTTCCTATTACACTAGTTTTAGGTGTGGAAATATTAATTTTAAAAAAGTAAATAATGACAAACGACAGGTAATGAAACATAACTTTGTACGAAACTACCTTTTTAGGTGTTGATCTAACAGCTTTATCTGGATTAGTTAAATTATTTTTAACATTGTTCAAGTTTTCATCCGGTGGATTTTCAATTTTCTGCAAACTATGATTCGTTTCTGAACTACAATAGGCGAAGTAAAGAAAAAAGTGGTGAATATGAAATATGTAATTAACATATAATGATCATATAGGGAAAAAAGCACCTATTTAAATAAAACCAGAACAATAATCGAGGTATAATAATATAAATTCAATCATATATATATATATATATATATATATATATATATATATATATATATATATATATATATATATATATATCATTAAAATTCATAAAAGAAGCCGATTGCATGAAACGTATACATTAACAGTTTTTACGCGCAGTACTAAATATTTCATGTAGAAGTTTAGAAAAAACATACAAATGCCTCGTATGTGCATGAACATATGTTATAAGGTCATTCCTCTATTGCAACCAATTGACACTGAACACTTGATATTCAGCATTCAAATAGGATGAGAGAGAAAGACTCATCATATGACCTCTGAGGATAAAAAGGATATTACACATCCACTTGCGAATCAAAGAGTTTACTAAACAGCAATTTACTCTGTTCCACTTTATGTTTGTGAAGAATAACTATTACGAATAGTGATTATTTGTAAATTAACAGTATTTAATTGGATATGTCCTCGAAGCACTGGTTTTCTATGTCGGGAAGATCGAGTGGGCAGTGCTAAGAATAGACATAGGATGTTAGGTAAAAATGACAGACTTGTTGATGAAATAGTGAACCTTCATCAACTAAGGCGGTCGGGACACATTAGACTGAGCAAGATAGGTAAGTCAAATCACTTTGGTTGGGGTCTGTGAAGTTATCGTAACCTTTAGTTAGAAACAATAGGTGACAACAATCAGAATCGGTCATAGTGGCGTAATCCCTTTCATTCTTTGCTGTCTTTCAGATCCTAAGCGTGAAGACCTTATCTTCTTTGATATCTAATCTTTCCCGCTACTAATGATAACGTTACTATATATACTATTCCGAGACTTCGCTTGTTAATTGCATCTCTCGGTGCTAATGAAGCATAATAATAATAATAATTTACATAACTATTAAACTGAAATATATATATATATATATATATATATATATATATATATAAACCGAAAACGGAACTCTTTACAAGAGAAACAGACTTGTTGGTTTTGATACATTGTTCAATGATCCCATTTAATACTAAGTTATCATTTGTACATGAAGAGTCCTCCTCATTATTTTTTGTCCGTTCACAGCAAAATGTACGGATTTGATGGAGGTATGTCATCATACTGAGCAAATCAGGTGAACGACTTTTAGAAACTACTTCACTTGGATCAAGTACACGGGGTACTCCCAATTTAGAAGCCACATCGAATGCCAGTCGACAATTTTGTAGGGGGTTCTCCGAAGACAATGAGTCGTAATCACTTGAAAAGTATTTTTAAAGGAAAAAAATCATTCGTTACAATGCAATAAATAAAATACAAGGAAGTATTATGTAATTGTTCAGAGGGAGAGATGTTTGAGACTTACCGGGAATCTGTATTAGTTGAAAAGATCGGGTTGAAAAATTCCTTTTCAATAACATTATTTCGTCGATTTCTAATGAAGTATAGGTATACTGTTTTATTGAACGTGAAACCTATCCTTTTACTTAGTAGTTTTAGCTTTGACACCGACTTTTTTAAGTATTTATTTTTTATTACAACTGTTGAAGTAGACGAAACCAAGGTATTTTCCAAAAATTAAAAACTATCTTCGCGAACTAAAGTCGTATATTTTGTAGATCAGAATGGTTTTTTAAAAACGTGAATTAATATTCAAACAGAATCGAATACTTTTGTCCTGTAGGTTTATTCAGTGAAGGCTGCTCATTACAATCTAAACTAGGTTGTATGGCACTATGATTACAGCACGGAAAATTAACAAGTTACATATAGATAAATGAATGGTTGTTTATTTGACAATAAATGCTAAATACTCTCTAATTATACGAATACGTCAACAGTTGAATATATCCAGTTGTAGATCATACAGTACACTTTCAACGTGTGAGCTAAACAATGAGTAAAATATTTGAATTTAGATTCGATTTTTAATGACTCAGACAAGTAGTTTGACGCGTTATTACGGAGTGAAGTATTCTGAATAGGTGTTTTAAAGTTAGGGAGTGATTATATAAAGAAGGTGAATTATGATTCATAAAATCATAGGTTTCAATGAATTATCCAAACGAATAAATATAAACTAAAACAATGTGATAAAACCAATTAAATCTATACTTAAAACCTACTAAGTAGTAAACACCTATGAATTTATTATGAACCATAGTGTAACAAGAATTAATAAAATAAATTGTATCAAGCTAACTAGATCATGTCTACTAATCTAAAAAGTAACAGTTTATTAAGGAACCCAGTAGTTATATGCTTGATCCTCTGAAGACTATTCATTTATATTATTCAAGGATATCAGTGTTGATTTAAACATATGTTCAATAAGTATGAATATCGATAAAAATGGGAGAAATATGTTTTAACATTTATAAGAAATCACAGATTCCGTAACTTGAGTTTACAGGTTAATTAAAGATAACAAAAGAAGAACTTACATTCGATCGGGAAAAAAGTGATGCAGGATAGCACAGAAAGCTAATCCATTTTGGAATGATGTAGTAAGATCAACTATTTGTATATTGTCATAAGATTTAGTCACCAACTGGCACCATATAAGTAAGTCATAACGACTTTGATTTGAAATAGGCTTTAATCTGATACAAAATAGGCAAATAAACATAATTATAAACTATATTAGAACATACTGTGAACAGCGAATGATAAAATTTATGCATTGAACAAATAGATCGATGATTTATTTATTTATTTATTTGAACACATAAATATTGGTACAGGGGGGCACCAAATATATATGCGCCACACAAAACAATGATAATTTGAAGAGAAGGAGAAAAGAGAAAAAAAGTAATGAACGTGGGGAATTATAAAAAAAAGGGAAAGAGAGAGAACAATGGTGGGGGAAACGGAAAGGTACAATCAGAAGAGATCTTTCAATTAAGGAAGATACAACCACTTTTTATGAAGAAAGTAAGAGGTTACAGCACGATCGCCACTGGCTTCTATTCTGAGCCATGTCTGATAACGTCTCTAGCCACTGCGTTACACCGTCTCTCGGACCCCAACCAGGAAGTCGTGAAGGACCAACACAAGCTAGTCCTTTGCAGCTTTCTTTCATACCACGACACCATGTCATATACTGACCATCTCTCCGCTTTTTCCAACCAGTCCCAGAGTCGGCAAATAATGCACGACGTGGAATTCTCTGGGACGACATTCGTAGAACATGTCCGAGCCACCGAAGTCGGTGTTTCAAGATGGTGACACCAATTTCATTATCGTCTCTGTGACCGAACACTCGATGCCGAACCTCTGCATTACTAACATGGTGTTGCCACTGGTTGCCAGCAATCCTTCGGAGACAACGATGATCGAACACAGAGAGTCGTCTAACATCCTCAACTCGGAGAGGCCAGGTTTCACAAGCATAGAGGGAAACTGCTCTCACCGACGCGTTGTAGATCCGACCTTTTACAGCCAGACTGACATCACGAAGGCGCCAAAGATGGCCCAGATTGGCATAAGCCGCTCTGGCTTTCACTATACGTGCATTGATCTCATCACTCACGCCACCACCAGCACTTATGCAACTACCCAGATACACGAACTTCTCGACTACTTCAATCTGCTCACCATCCAGAGTGAGTACAGGATTAGAATCCTGCCAGTCTTGTAGAAGAACTTTGCACTTCGAAGGTGCAAAGCACATACCATACCTACGGACACTGATTGCCAACTGATTAAGTGCGGATTGCATGACTTGGGCATTCTCGCACAGTAACACAATATCATCCGCATACTCAAGGTCGAGAAGTCTTTCTCTAGGCAACAGATCCACACCACCATTACTTACATCCGTCAGAGCTGTTTCCAGAATGTCATCGATGGCAAAGTTGAAGAGGAATGGTGAGATTGGGCAACCCTGCCTAACCCCACTGCTCGAATGGAATAGTGGAGAAAGGTGATTGTATGCCCTCACTCTGCCTGAGGTGTTTGTGTATAGGGCTTTTAGGATGTTAATAAACTTCTCAGGCACACCCTTCTTCAATACACAATCCCAGAGAACAGTCCTATCCAACGAATCGAAGGCAGCCCTGATGTCAAAAAACACTGCGATTGTTGGCCTTTGATAAGTATGGCGGTGTTCTAACATTTGGCGGAGGGTGAAGATATGATCAATACATCCTCAACCAGAACGAAACCCAGCCTGCTCCTCGCGAGTCAATCTTTCTCGGGTTCTGAACAACCTACGAAGTATGACGGAAGCCAATAGCTTGGACGCAATCGGAAGTAGACTTATCCCCCGATAGTTGTTACAGGAACGACGTGAACCCTTTTTAAAGATAGGGACAACTATCGACTCATTCCATGACGTTGGTACACTCTCTAGTTCCCAGATCTTTGTAAACAACGTCGTCAGTCCCTTAGTCAAAAAGTCACCACCATCTTTAAAAAGAGCCGGAGGTAAGTCGTCTGGGACGGTGATTTGTAACGTTTCAAGAGTTGGAGTTCCTTGCACACTTCCGCCTCATTTGGTGGATCAGTCGTCACCGGCCATGGAGGGCAGGACAATCTGACCGATGTTGCCGCAGCAGCAGGCCAGTTGAACTGCCCTTCAAATAATTCTGCCCATCGTCCAAGACGTCGATGGATGTTAGTGATTGGTGTTCCGTCATCCTCGCAGATTGTTTCGCTCACACCAGACTTCTTGCTGCCAGTGGCTCGGATGAGTTGGAAGAGCTTCCGGTAATTACCAGATGCAGCTGCTGCTTCCAACTCACTGGCACGCTCCGACCACCAGGCTACTCGGTCCTTACGCAAGCTTTGCCCGATTTCATTACGTAACATCCTTCGTCTGTGGTCAAACTCACGGTCACCCGGAGCAGACCGACGGACTTCAATCAGTTGTAAGGAACCAGAAGAAACCCAGTGCTTGAAAGCGGGACGTTTCGCGAACCCACAACAGACTGTACCCGCCATTTTCATGGCGTCATGAAGTTGCAACCAATGCTCATCTATACTTTTCGGTGGAATGGTAGCTAACCTAGAAGCTAGCTCGGTTCGGTACTTACTAGCAACAGAAGTTGCAGCCAGCTTGCTAACATCAATCCTTTGGTGGCGGTCGCTTCGTTGTCCACTGAAAAGTAAGGTAAGATTGGCGCAGACCAGAGCATGATCAGATTGCAGATAGGTACTCCAAAAGGTGCGGCAGTCTTGTACACAACCGCGCCAGCGGTAGCTGATCGCGATGTGATCAATCTGAGTCCAGGCTTGAGATGCAGAAGGGAGACGCCAGGTGGCACATCGGCGATGACTGTGCCGAAAGTTAGTGCTAGCCAGAAACAAGTTGTGGTCTGTGCATAGTTGCAGTAGACGTTCCCCGTTATCTGTCCTGCGACCAACGAGTCCCCATCGGCCACCTAAACGACTCTCTTCTGTGCCTAGACGCCCGACCTGAGCATTCAAGTCTCCAGCTAGTACTACAATATCTGTCGAACGCACTTTCTGGAGAAGAACAGTTAGCTGATGGTAGAACTCGTCCTTGATTGCATCCGGGCTGCAATCTGTCGGGGCATAGGCGGAGATGACGAAAAGACATCGTTTCTCACGCCGATTTCTTCTCACTTTGATGGAACTTTCTAATCTAACAGCACATAACCGACTGTTAATGGGGATCCAGTCGACTAGTGCTGCCTCAGCTCTCGCGCTTAGTGCGACACCAACGCCAGCAAGACCAGACGAAGATGCCACAGGGTCCCCGGATAAACGCCGTGTGAGATCGATGAACAAAGCTCTATAAGATCCCATATACACATGATGCAGAAAAAAAGTAAAGAAATTAAATTTGTATAAGAACACTGGGATTATTTTAAGATACTTATCTGTAGTGTAGTGAACGGAAACACCCGTGGGGAAAATCGAATGTATTTGAACACAAAATTGCAGAATCTCAGAGTAAAATCTGAGAACCATACTGTAAACACTTCATTTGCAAAATGTCAATCAATTGTCTCAGACTTCATTGTTCCTTCGTTTCTACACCAATCATTCTCTGTTCTCGTTTCTACGATCTTCTTAACCTTCTGCCACCAGTTATTACACTTTCGATTGATGGCACATACTACTTATATTTATCAACATCAGTAGCATACACACACTAGGAAGACGTCAGTAAAGGTTGCTAAAAATCCTAAACAGTTTTAAAATTATTTAAATCGCTTTCTGGTAAGCAACACTTTTGGAAAATAACTAGAATAATTTATACGATAATGCATCTATGTTCTTTTCTAATAAAATGTATTTATCAACGACCTTCATTATTGTTAATTATGACATGTTCTTCACAAGCTTCTAGTACTTGAAGATTACCTATTCACAACTGTGTAAATGTTACGAATAACCAGTTTACTTATTGTACAGTTTAAACGCTTCTGTTATTTAATTCTATTTGCTGTTTATCTGTATAACATACAACTGCTGATTTTGATTTCGGGTGGTGTCTTGTTTTAGTTCAATTCCATTATTGCAAAATTCTAATAAAGTTCTTGATCTAAGTTTAGTAACGTTTCACAACACTGAGCTGCATGTTTCCGATAGCCTACAACCAACTCAGATCCACCATTGTTCCAAACTTTACGTTGTATATGGTAGGCATTTTAGGTGGAAATATAAAGCACTACAAGATTTAATCATAACAAACTTGAAAATCAGAAAGTCACCGTGGATTAATTCAGCCCAATAGCTAAAATGTTGGTCGCTCAAAGTCAGATATTCATGTACAGAAGAGTAAATAGATGCAAGAGTTTATAGTAAATACAAAGGTCAGTGAAATGTTTGGTACACACTATATCACACATTTAACAATGGTTATTATTTCTCCAGAGAATTTTTTGAAAACTTAAAAGCTTCATCAATTAATGCCAGTATGTACAAACACTCTTCGTAAATACAACTAAGCCTTTAAACTACTAAACAATAAAGATATGGTTTCAGAAGAATTTTTACATTTTAAAAGCTAACATTATGTTTTTAAATCACATTAAAACTATATGATTCACGTCCTACATCATAGTAGAAAGCAAATCGCATGCGTAAATAACAAATTTATAGGATTTACATTGGTGATAAGAGTTAAATGGACTCTAACTAAATTATAAATGCTGCCCTAGCCAATGAATTAAGTTACAAGTTAACTTATATCGTCAGAGTAATCGGGAAACGTGAATTGTAGAGTAACTGATTAATATTTGTTGTGCAAAAATCTACATTTGACTCACACAATTAATTAAGTTTTTGGTACTTAAAAACAACCTAAAACAATCAAATAAAACAAATTTTGACCAACATTCTCATCATATCATGAATTCCACAACAACTAATTTAATCATTACTAACATATATTTGTCCTGCATTAGGATTCTGAAGCTTTAATACAATCACAACTTTCTGCTAGATTTGAAGCGGTTACGAGTTCACTTAGACTGTGAACGGAACAAAGACTTGTGACAAAAAACCAATAAACTAGCTATTCTATTGCGTCTTAGCTCCGCTAACTAGAGAGAGAAGTCGAAGTCCAAACGGCGAAGTATATTCCCCAAAAAGTCAGAAGCAGGAGCGATAACATTAGACACAAATCAAAACGTATATATACAGCATAAAACCGTCCTTGGGAAGCGTTACAAGATAGCATACCAAAAGATACAACGGACCAATAGCGTTTAAGATTCTCCCAAGTAGGAGATATGACATGGAGGTGAAAAGAGCGCTTTTGATGCGAAAACAAAGAAATTGAAATTTTCCAAATAAAATTACAAAATTAGGTCATTTTCCAAATGAGTTCTGGGGATCTAACGTCCCCAACATTTTTAAAGTTGGTTTCCTTGATAATAACTTTATATTAGAACAATTTGAAAAAAAAGCACAAATTATCCAATTATTTAATGTTAAAAATAAAATTTAAACATTTAATAGTAATGAAAATTACGTTTTAATCACGTTTTAGGTATTGATGACAATATACACAGACTCTAAGAATAAGTAAATTACTAACAAATTGGCTGATATCCCAAATATTATTCAATTTAATTTTATGGTTGAAACATAAAAGAATTATATAAATCTACATTGATAAATAATAATTGTTTTAATTATATTTACTCTTGATTAATGCGAAAACAATAAAAGACATCACTACTTACTCGGATGAATTAGGAATTGCTTTATCAAAAGTGGAAATACGTGGTTTCGTCAAAATATCATCAACTGTAGATGAGAGTGAATCTTGAAAACGAAAAATTGAACTATCATAAATATTCAATGTTAGCTATGAATTTGTAAAAAATACTTTCAAAAACTATATATTAAGTAACAACTTTCACCTATCACATAGAACATCCTAATCATAATATTAAGTTCTCTAGAAAAGTTAGCTTTTAAGGTAATATCATAGTTGAATAGACTAAGGCAAATAACTGATGATAAGTCTCACTGTAAGATGAAATGAGTTGTGTTACAAATACCAAACGATACAACAAAACATGGGTAAACACAGTTAATACAAAGCTCAGACTTGATTTCATGTGCATTGTTTTGAAATATGAAGTTTTTATTAATTCTGAATTGATGTTAGTTGTAAAATAAAAACCGCTAAGATATGAATAAAAAAACTATTAAACCGATATCATATATATTTCTTCGGTAACAACAACGTTGACGTATGTCTTTAGTACTGGCTAGTGATTACAGCACTGAATAAAATTATTCCAAAAACTCATCACAACATAAGATGCGAACATTAAGCCTGTTACGGTTTAAGTTTTGGAATTATATAATTCAGTACAACTGAAAATATTCCAAGTTTCATTTCTAATTTAAGGTAAGTCAATGCTCTATAGAAAAAATTAATCTTATGAAGAATAAATTATTTCATCTGTTTTAAGGTGAAGAAAGATGACATTAGAGGGAAATGAGAAAGTAAATATTTTTTAGGATGAGTTACAATAACGAATGGGATCTACCAAGTATATCTGTCATTATTCTTAATTTTTTGTAAATATGCTGATGAACATCAGTGGACACACTAGATGTCATTATGGTGTGGGCTACAGATGTCGACAAATTTAGGTCGTATATACCATCAATCGAAAGTGTAATAACTGGTGGCAGAAGGTTAAGAAGATCGTAGAAACGAGAACAGAGAATGATTGGTGTAGAAACGAAGGAACAATGAAGTCTGAGACAATTGATTGACATTTTGCAAATGAAGTGTTTACAGTATGGTTCTCAGATTTTACTCTGAGATTCTGCAATTTTGTGTTCAAATACATTCGATTTTCCCCACGGGTGTTCTCCTTCAATATATCATGACTCAGAATCCAATACAATAGAAACGATCTATTCACTCTTCATCCTCTATCAAACGCTAGATATGTTTATTATTTTTAATCTGGTTTTTTCTTAAACCCATCTTTTTTCTTGTAATATGCTGCTATTTTCTACGCTGTAGTGAATTGTGAAACTCTAAATTGATAAGTATTTACAAGTATTTACTTTTATTTGTTTGCGTTATACAAATACTACTTCGGGAGTTACACCAAATGTGTACATGCTAACCATGCAGCCAATCGTATGAGAAAGGTGAAACGAGATCAGCATCTCGTAACTAGTGAATGAATAAAAATTCTAGAGATCATGGTATAACAACGAAATGAATAGAGACATATCCTCCAATCGAAAGGAAAAGATACATACGATAATAGTCAAATGAGTTGTAGATTCGTAATCACCTGATATGCCAATAGTTAAAATATTGGACGAAATCTGGTCATCTTATGAATTCTGATGTTATCCGTATGTACATGCGTCTAGAGACTACAGATCAGATTCATTTTAGATAACTCAGCAAATTTTACTTCAACAACTAACACGACGGAAACAGTCAAGCTTGAAAATGTAAAAAGAATAACTATATGTACATATTACCTTGGTTTTTCGAACTATTTAGAGTTGTTTTGGAATTATCTAATTCTGAAGAATAATCTGAAAAATTCCCATTTGCTTTTATAGGAGATTCTACAAGGGGATCTATTTGACGTCGTTCCAAAGATTGTAGTTTAGCAGTTAATTCACTAAGATCAGTATGAAAAGTACTATTTGAAAAGGAATGTGAATTAAAATCATCCACGTTAGAGAGCCTCGCTGTTGTTGGTGAAAATGCTGCGACACCACCCAGATCATTAATAGTTACTCCACTGCCAACGTTAAAACTTCCAGTACGACTTAATGACATGAGTGATGCTATGGATATCATATCTTCATCACTGAATAATAGTGAAACAAAAGAAAGGATCAGTAGATATAAAAAGAAAGATGGCTTTATATACATACGAATTCAATAATTCATAATAACATCTATTAAGAACAACTCTCGATTTTAAGTGAAATTGTGTTACATGCCATCACAAATTCACAAAAGCTAAGGAAACCGAACAAAAATAATATGACGAGATAACTGATGTGATATATCAAGAAACTATCTGATTCAATGGACGATTCTGCTCAGAAATTTTAGATCTTAAAACTAATGTTGCACAAAAAAATTAGTAGAAATAGTTAATGAACGGTCTTTTCAACAAGAAACTGTGATAAGGAACCTGTTATTAATATTGTTTCAGAAGAAACGAGAAAAAAACAGCATCTTCTGAGGCTAATAAGTTTAATGGATGAATTTTATGACTTGCAAAATAAAGGTTTATGTACAACAAACTTGTCTCGAGTCTCGAATGTTTTCATTTGGGCTAATGATAAAGTGAACCAGAGTTTAGACTTTCGACAGTCCATCGTCTGTTGTTGACTTGATATGAAAATAACAAAAAAAGGTTCGTTCCTACGGGTTGAATAAATGGAATTCTATAAAAAAAAGCCGACTGTGCAAGAGTCGAATGCCACCTTGTTAGCGGGACATAGATTGGATTAAAGCATGCTCAATTGCTTTGGTGCACGCTGATTGGCTAATTCTTGCCCGATCAGCATTGGCCGAAACTTCGAGAATACTCTAGAAATCTTCTCATGTAAAAACTATAAATATACTAACGTTTTTCCTACTGTGCTTCTTACTTCCGTCTACCCTTGTTATTTGGAATATAATCTCTTTCCTGTTTAACCGTGTTCTGATTTGGGGACTTGTCGAGGGGATTGGTGTCCGAGAATACTAAGCGATAGGAATATCTGGGTTATAACCGTAAGAGAGAATTATAACACACCTAAAAGTCAAGAAACATCACTGTTGTTGGGCGTCAGTAACTTTGCTTATTTCTTGATACAGTTTGTTGCAAAGATTATTGGATTTCATAATTTACAGCTGTGATTAGTCTCAGACAAAATATAAAAACCAGAAAGAACTAGAACATCCACGAGACCTGAAAATCCAGGGTTCGATCCTCAGTTCGGTTATGGATGTGCATTGTTGAGGAGTCCCGCTATAAGACAAAACGACTATCCAGTGCTTTCTGATTCTCAAACACTGTCTAACTAAGATTAACTCGTGATGCGAACCACAAAACGATGTCGCTGTTGAAGAACTTGACAAAAAAGTGAAAATTGGATCGGTGTATTTAAGTTCAGCTCTGAAACCAGTCTGATTTCTACAAGTTTCCTGTTCATAATCCTTAGGTTAAACGTTTTGTGGTAGTAATAATTAACATTTAACACACTATTTGTCAATGATAAATCTGTAGTTATGGCAAGAAAATTTTGCTTTATTCCTATAGACCGTGATGATCTTCAGATATACAACGGGTAAATCGCGCTGGAGTGCCTTATAAACTAGGTAAAGTCAAGTGAATGACCATGTTATGATCCTGTATGTGTGTGTTAGAAGCACCATAAATCAATGGCAGTAGGTTTCAAACTCTTACTTAAAGAGGCCTTTTGGTTTCATGAAAATTCGAACGGAATTTCGTAAGTTTGAATCGTTAATACTAGTAACAGATGGTAAATGATAGTAGAGAAAGAGGAAATGTTAGGAAGTGAAGGATTCGAGTGTGAACAAAATCTCAAAGACTATTAAAGGCAAGAAGGCGGTTGTATATTTCTGACTCCCGACACAGTGGAAGGACATTTACACGGAGACAAGAGAAGGAAGCTGGATTGACAGTAGGATTGATGACCTGGGAGCGTGACCGATGAACAACTATTTTTAAGTATTAACTATATCTTCAGGTTTTGCCATGTGCATCGAAAATCATTAAGAGAAAGCAAGAAATGGTTTATGGGGTTGACCATTTCTAGCCCCTAACATGCGTTATGAGAAGGCAGCATAACTGGAGATGATAGCAATCTCTCGGAAACATCATATTGTAATTATATCCCATTAAAATTGGTAATACGACTTCGCCCTAGGAACTCAAATTTGCTCCCTTCATTTTTACTACTATCTGACATACGAGCCTGGATTGGTAGTCTCAAAAAACATACGTTCTAGCTTATATAGTTTGATGAGGTTGATACGATAGACAATCCCAACCAACATGTTGAGATGAAAGGTACGAGTAGGAACAATCAGAATATTATGTTCTAGCTTAAGCTCAACGTTTAGAACTGACAGAATCACATCTTCATTTTTAACAAATACCCAGTACAGAGATCTCAGTTTAAATAAAGCCTAGAACAGTCAACACCCATATGACTTCCAACATATAATGTTCCAAATCACTTTGCGGCTTTGGCAATGTTGAACTGCACCCAAAAAAAAACTACACGAGTCAGTTAAATATCTTGAAGATCCTTTAAAGAATACACTACTACTTTTAAACACAATGGTTTTCGAATTAGAAGTGTTAGCCTATCATTATCATTCAGTGGTTTAAATTTTAAACTTTAGTCAATTTGCGATCAGTAGTTTAAAGTTTAAAAGGCTTTCCCGAGATCTAAAAGTCTAGAGTTGGATCCCCAGTTGACTGAGAAGTATTATACTAGGGCGAAACAGTTGCTCAATCCTTTTGGTTTTTAAAGGTTGCCTAATTCAGATCAACCGAAGATATTAATTATAAAATTCCATCCATCCATTCATTAAGGAAATTTAGGACTTCGTTTTATACTCAGCTCACTATGGTGCAAGATATTGCATTCCAATAATAATATTCGGATATATCGTTTTAGATTATCGGTTGTTTAAAATGTTTCGTAATACATTGACAATGTAAAATATTTATATAGTCTAAAGTAAACATTAGCAATTGGTTAACAGCTTTAAAAAGCAGTGACTCAATTGATTTAACAACCAATTTTAGAGGAATAAAATCTCACTTACTTATAATCTTATGAATAAAACAACAAAATGCAAATTAAATTTTAAAATCAACTAACGTGGCTTCTCCAGCTTTTACAATAACGGAATTTAGCGTAAGGAGAACTGTAGCAGATATTAACTTTTTAGAAGCGAGACGCATGACTACTTTGAGATTTGTTTGCACGGGTAAATCTGAGACGAATTCGGCTATATCGATTTGTCTGGTAGCAAGTACACGTCGTCTAACCGATGGTGTAGATGCTGAAAGTAAACCTGAAGTTTTAGCTCCAACCTGAAAACGAAATCAGAATAAAACAAAAATGTACACCTAATGTAATAAACACCGTTAAGTTACATAAATCCAAAGCCGAAAACACTAATCACGAACATTACTGTAGTGCTTTTTTACGAGTTTCAATTATATCTGATAGTTTCGAAAGATTTTTACTACCTAAATACCCCTTTCGAAGAAATAAAACTAATAAGAAGCGGTGTTTATTCAAACTTCCTAAAATTGTTTTTAATTCAAGACCAAATAATAGAGAAATAAATTGTCTTCTTATTTTAAACATCAAGAAAAACAAGATCTCTACTTGATAGATTGCTAGTTAATATATGTAATCACAATTGATTGATCACTGGGTGGTGACCAATGTCATGCGTGTCTAGTCCTTATTATTAGTGCAGATCGAATGCTATCGATCATGTTGCAATGTGGCCACCAGTCTAGGTGACTCGACACTGCGGGCACTATTGTGAGATTAGATGGTGATTGGAGGTAGTCGACAGGAAACCCTGGACCCGGGTTTCGTGCTACTTGGCACTCGTCAGCAAGGTGTACCTGTAATCTTCGAGGGAACTGGTGCTCCCTGGCGGATTCGATCCCGTGTCACCCAGCTTCACAGTCAGAGACGTTACCGATAAGACCTCACGAAAAGCTGCCAAAAAGCTTTATTTAAATTAAAATGAAAACTTAAACCAGGTCAATTTGCATTGTCACAAATAAGCATAATAAATATGTATTTTAATGGACAGTCATTATCGTTTAAGATTCCATATTGATGTTTTTAAATGTCCGAATCGCCAGATTGTCATAAGACACACTAACAAAGTTAATCGGAAAGTTGAAAGACTTAATATTAGTAAAAGGACAGTTACCTAGTGGAAATATTTGACATTTATGTGCAAATTAAAATAATGATATTGATATTGATTAGTACTAGGATTCCAACACATGAGCTTATGTAAGGCAAAAGTGAACAGGTATCTTTATTTTTTTATTAAATTATACATAATAGAAAACACTGCCACCGAGCAGGGGTAGAAAGTATTTTAGACTTTATTTGCACAGTTGAGAGTAATTGATTTTTACATTATGAACACTGATTTCAATTCCACATATTGTGTGTAGAGTTAATAAATCAGGATGAATACGTCAAATCAAATCAACTGAAAAAAGCTCAAAGGATGCTTGTTTACCCAAATATATATAACTACTTAGCGATCATAAACAATAAAACCTAGATAGCAAAAATCTTTGAAACCTATCACATTTGCTTTATTCACTCAACTAGGAACTAAACTTACAACGTAATCGCAAATTAATAATACAACTAATGATACATTTGTAATATCTTAATGAGTAGAAAAATTAGATTTCCTGACATTTTGTGACTCATGGTGAGCCACTTCTTCAGGGAATAAAAGGATAAACAAATTTAACTAACCCAAGTTTAAATAGCAAAAAAGAACAAAGCAAAAAAGCTTAATACAATCAAATTTACAAACTTAACTCCTTACATCCATGGAACAGTATATAAATGTTATGAATAACAAAATCAACTATCAGTTTAGTGGTATTGAATAAAGATGATAATCAGATTATCAAACACCACAGACTTCATAACACATACATACTAAAATTAGATTTCTGACAGATCTGCTAATCACGAGTGATTCACTTGAGATGGTGAAATAGTTTATTTAAATAAAGAAAATACTAATTACATCTTCGATTTGACATATCCATTCTTTTTCTTCAAATTGAATTGCTTTTTCATTTCGATATAAAGTAGTGACGAATTCTATATTCTCCGGCATAGACCAAACATATTTAAATGAATTTGAATTGCCAGAACTTTTAACAGGTTCAAATGACTGGTAAAATAATAAATATAAATATCTTAAATAGTAGTGATAACGATTATTTTTTAACAATATATTGTTTTTTTTTATGAAAAATGGATGGCATTTATTGGATTGATAAACAACACACCAATACTAATTGGTTGCTTAGATTATAGTATGGACTTGTATAGTAGTGGAGTTTTGATCCGTTCAATCTCTAAAAACAAACACATAACTTGTTGGCCACCGATTTCTATTCACCCTAGATTTATTAGATATTTTAAGGCAGAAATTAACAAATCCATCGTATTTTGGCAAGTTCTTGTTTTCTGAAAAAACTGATCACATTAGAAATCAACATTTTAAGCTGTTGATCGATGAAGTAGAAAATTCTCAAATTTATATTTTAATTCACACTGCTACTTGGTTTGAACAACCTTACTGGCATTGATACCTATAATATGATTAACTCGAACAGTCGAGGGCGTAAATCAAATGTTCCACTAATTGCAGTTTAAGCCATGCTTTTCCTGATCCAGCTTTTAACGCGTGTTAATTCGATTGAATTGCATGAAAAGAAATAAGTGAAAATCCAGGTAATATTTGTTATTCTATTGAAAAACTTCAAATCTATGAGCATCAAATTTACTTCCTCTAACAGAAATAATATTTGGTTGGAAAATTAAAACCGTTCTTGATGGAATCAAACTAAATAGATCTATCAAGTAAGATGTGAAAAAATGGAAAACCAGTGAAGACGTTATAGCGGAGCGAAACGAAGTTCATATGTTCGTTATTCTCGTTATTCGCCTCCGATGTTGACAGTTTTCTATGTATGTTATTTTGAAAAATCATCTATTTTCACTTTTCTTCAAATTTGTTGTGAGCCATCTTCACACATTTTAGTGGTTACAACTTCTGAAAATATTTAAAGATGGCTCGCCACAAACTTTAAACGAAAGTAGGACAGTATGCAACTAAAAATATCACTCTTAGAATACTGAAAAAATTTGAATTTATAGGTTTTTAAACGTTGGATACGTACAGCTTTCGAACAACACTACTAGATTTCAGTCTAACATAAAACAAAAAAGATATTGGTACGTAATATAACTTCAATAACAAGTGAATTCAGTATCTCAAAAAACCGCTTATCTGGTAAACTTCGTTTCATCCATCTGCAAGCTAAAATTATGGTATTAATGTCCTTTTATAGAAACTGGTGGTGAAATAGTAGTGATCACATTACAAAGAACTATAAAAATTACCTTCAGCTCAATTTTGAGGAAAGTGACATTTCCAGAAAATTATTGTTCATTACCAGAGCCTCAATTCAATGAAACAAGACGATGACTACGCTATTCGATAACATCAACTGCTAAAATAAACACATTTGACTAGACCACCCAAAACCTATCCAGTAATATTTCAAAACTCATTCATGAATTAGAACGTGAATTCTCTTTAAACAGAATTTATTACAATAGATCGTGTTTTGTCAGTCAGTCATTCAGCTGCAACGTAGGACCAGGCACGTATATGCATCGGTCCAAGTTGCCATACCGCATTAGCACAAGATGAACACCGGTTTCATAGAAGTAGTTAATTCAGTGGTGGTAATATATAGAAGAAAGAGTGTGTATAAGGATATAGTACAAGAAGATACAATTAGTTCCTAGAAAGAAAGATTTGAAGTGAATTTAATCTCTTAGTTTAAGGAAGACAGAGAGTGTATACACCGACGCCATTGTGATCGACTCTGAGCCATGTCACCAAGAGTCTCCAACCATTGGTTACGATAGTCACGCGGACCCAAACCAGACAGTCTGCATCTACCAACATGGCTCAAACCAGAAGTTAGTGTCTTCAAGCACTGATGCCACGTTTTGGTTTGGCCGCCCCTAACTATCTTCCAATTATCCCTAACACCGGTTAGCATTGCGCGTCGTGGTAACCGGTGTTCAGGCATACGCAACATGTGGCCCAACCATCTCAGTCGATGAAGATTCATAACCTCATCAACTGATTTAAAATCATTCCCCAATACCCTACGTCTAACCTCACTATTACTTACCCGGTGATCCCAGCAGATACCCGCAATAGTTCTAAGGCACCTGTGGTCAAATACTAGTAACTTACGAATATCTTCTACTCTTAAAGGCCATGTTTCGCAGCCGTATAGTAGAACCGAACGAACTGCCGCGCAGTATACTCGTCCCTTAATTGATAGACGGATATCTCGCCTTCGCCATAGATGACGTAAGTTGGCAAAGGTCAAGCGAGCTTTTCGAATCCGTGCTGAGATTTCGTCAGACACCAACCCGTTAGGGCTGATCAGACTTCCAAGATAAGTGAAGTTCTCAACGCGTTCGACTACTTCACCCCCTATCCTTAGTTCAGGTGTTGACGCAGACCAGTCCTGAAGCAACAACTTGCATTTGGAGGGAGAGAAGCGCATCCCAAACATTCTGGCATTGTTGCTCAGTGCTTTGAGTGATCTTCTAAGCCTCTATTTTCTTAGTTTGGATTTATTTGGAAAATTTGAATTAATAGATAAGACATCTAATAACAGATAACTAACTAACATTGAAGTCAGCTTTTACTTCCGCGTACTTGTCCTGCTTATTGTGTCGGAACACATAGTGCGTACAGATTACCACTCGTTTCAATTCCGTCGACCGGAGTTGAAGCTTACTAGACAAATAATATATTTATCAGTATATGGGGTTGTGGAGATTATTAAGTTTGGATTAAGATCATGAACCGATTGATGTTAGTCCACCGTTGGAAACCTGGAAGCACTAAACGGCCGTTTCGTCCTAGTATATATATATATATATATATATATATATATATATAAATCTTCGGCTTATTTTGAGTACAAGCCGTGACCAGTGGAGCTAGTCCTTGTGGGGTAGAGACAGGTATCTACCTCGATACAATGGAAGATGGTCGCTCAATTTCGTGGATTGGTTGATGTTAGACACTAACACTGTTGGATGCCGGCTCAGTGGTCCAGTAGGTTAAGCGCCCGCACTGCTAAGAAGTCCCACAATAGGACGAAACGGCCGTCCAGTGCTTCCAGGTTTCCAACAGTGGCCTAACATCAATCGGTTCATGATCTCAATCAAAATAATGGATTTGTTACACAACAAATTAACCTTTAACAAATAAATTAATTTAAAAATAAAGCACAAAAACTAAAACTAGTTAATGATGAACATATGATTTACTTTAGAAGAATATCGCCGACTGCGACGAGACCAAACAACTACTAAGTTTCCGGGGTTGTAATGACGCGAGCATTCAATATTCAGCTCATGCAAAGAAGCAGTAATCTGAAATTTCGCTGCTTTCTTTCCAACCCTTTGAAGTCTGCGCCAGACACTCATTTATTACTTTATATTATTTATTACCTGGAATCATATGAAGAATATATATTTAGTGTCATGGAAAAATATGACAATGGCAATTCAGTTTATTAAGTACAGTCTGTTGTGCCCGGTCAAAAAATTTAAGAATAAAAACAAGATATAAATATATGTATGCAAAAATATGTACTTCCTTATCAAATGCTTTAGGTAATTGTTTGTGAACTACCGTGTTTAAACTCAAAAAATTCACTTCAAGTCGAGTAATGTCATGACTATATACAATGGATCTATTTCACAGTGAAAGGTTTTGCTTGTGCTACAGTTGGCGTAAAATGGTAAAAGCTGAGTAAGTTTTTAGGATGTATTGAAATTTTTAGTCTAAAACCCTTTAAATTTAAGACTTCTAAAATAAATGAGGTGATTGACGTGCTCAACTACTTACTTATATAGTCAGATAACATTTAAAAACAAAACTATTATATGCGTGCTTCGGGTGGACAAGTCCCTTTAAGAGCGTATGGATGATGAAATTAATTTAAAGTAGTAGTAGTCTGCATTTACTAACATAGCTCAAACCAGAAGTTAGTGACTTCGATGACTGATGCCACGTTTTAATTTGGCCACCCCTAACTTTCTTCCATCCGTTTCTAACACTTGTCACCATTGCGTGTCGTGGTTCTCGGTGTTCAGGCATACGTAACACGTGACCCAACCATCTCAGTCGATGGAGATTTACAACCTCATCGAGTGATTTACCATCATTCCCTAATACCCAACGTCTAACCTCACTATTACTTACAGATGCTGTTTACTTTTAAAGGTTACATTTGACAGACATCGTAATACAGAGCAAACTGCTATGCAATATACTCTCTCTTTTATTAGCAGAGCACATTCCACAAGCAACAAGTGACCCTAGGTGGCGAGAATCAACTGAGCTTTTTGGATTCGCGTCAAGATTTAATCAGACACCAAGTTAACAGGATTGGTGAGACTTTTCGGGACAAGCGACGCGGTCAACTTACTCAACTACTTTACTCTCCTCATGATCGGTCTAGGCAATAATGCCTTCTGAGGAAGAAAGTTTGTCCCAAATATTTTTACACTATTACCTAGAACGTTCCGAAGACTGCACTGTTGAAGTCACGACCAAACAGGGCTATTCATCGCGTATCCAAGGCTCATGAATGAGAAGGAAAGCAATTTCTGAAGCAAAATGACGAAAGTGTAATTTATGGAAGAGCATCTGCGACTAAACTACCGAGGCAAAATAACCACTTTGATCGCCCGGCAGACAGGATGGTGAATATTTATTTTGGTATCCATTTGTACCAATATTTGTCTATATAAATAAATGATCAAAATTAAATGTGAAAGATGACAGTTCGTAACTAAGGTAAACGCCACTTAAGGTTGTACAGTTGGAAAACAGTTTAGCGAAGGCTTCAGCTCGGTCAATAGTGTCTGAGTAGGAACACTTAGAAAGTTAGAGTGATTTTGCAGTAAACTCATCAGTGACATACTGAATACTGACTTATTTATGATCAAAATACTGTAATACAACAAGGTACTAAAATAATGAGCTGTACTAGTTGGAATAATATGAAGAAATAGAAGTAGGATAGTCGATACAACCAATAAATAGATGGACAATGATAGCATATAATAACATATACTATCCAGTTAAAAATACAATCAAGGTAAATTTTGTTTGGTTAACAAAGCCCATCATGTTTTTATGTAATGGGAAAATACATCAGGATTGTCAGTGGTTTATATTTTACGTCGTCTAGCAACACAGGCAATAGGTTTGCATAATATCTAAGATCCCAACAAAGGAGTGTTGATGAACTGACAGATACCACTCTTATACAGCTATTTTCTATATCAAAGCCTAATATCATAAACTGACCATCTCTAAGCTTTTTCTGCCTAGTTCCAGTGATAAATAAATAATGCGCATTTTGAAAACCACTGAAATAACGCTAGGGTATAAACCGAAGTCGATATTCTAAAATAAGAACACCGAATTATCACCAACACACTCAAATTCATATTGTAAGACATTGGCATTACATACGCCGAATGCAAGCAGTTATTATGACAAAATAATGACCGAACATAGAGATTTGTTAAGAACCCCTAATCCATAGGCTTCAGGTTTTACAAATACAGAACCGCTCTAGCTGATGCACTGCGCACTTAACCTTTTAAAAACAAAATACCACGACAGAGCCAAAAATGACAGCCAAGCTAGAACATACAGAGTTTTCTCAGGTTCGCTAATCTTGTGATTTATTTGGGCGTCGAGTACTCATAAAGGCTGATGTCCAGATACTGATCCAAACCAGAAACTAGCTGGAAGCCAGTTAGACCGTCCCTTAAAGTGTCCCACAGATTGTTCTAATCTAGACTGAGAATATACCAGATTTTTCTTTTCAGAAATGTTTCCATTAACAGTTTATGTTTTAATACCTTTAATTAGTTGGAACAGTTGTCTAATTTTAACTATCGCCTCCGACTTTTCTACCTTAAACTCTCGTCGCACATCACTGCTCACAATCATTGCATAGACATTTAGTCAGTGTACATTTATGTCGTCCCATACTTGGTTGTACGAGCTCACAAGCACGTAGCAATTTAGTAATTTTCAAAATTCACTGATCTTTTCAAACTTTTTAGTTTAATTCTCTGACAGCCCCCGAATGCCCTGGTATGGCCGAGAGTGAGAAGAGTCCGCTCACCCGCTCGAAATACTCTTACATGACCACGCGAATATAGTCTCTGCCGGGGAAGTCCTACTCACTGCCTTCTCGTGGCGGGGGTGTTGTTTACGAAATTGAGAGGACGAAAAGCGAATGCCCGGCACTTCAACCGGATCCCAAACCAATGGTTCACATGGGCTCCAGTATCCTGAGGGAACAAATGGCGTATGAACCAATTTTTGGTCATCGGCTACCATGGGACTGCATCTCCTTACGATGCTCCACTGTCTTGTGGGTCAGACGTTCAGGTCGAAGGCTCGGGGTGTGGTCCCCTAAGAAAACCACCTGCTTCGGTTTGGGCACCCGGACAGTATCACAGCCCTCACACATATCAAATGAGATTTGTGTGGCGCATGTGTTTGGTATCTCCTTGTACCAATATCTGTGTTAAAATAAATAAATATAATAAATAATTCTCTGACAGATATTATACGATATTTACAACTGTTCGGATATCACAGGCTTCGTGATGAACTAAGTGCCTAGCTGATTCCTCCTGGACTTTTTGATTTTGGAGCTGACTTCTAAAGAATATTTCTTTTGTGAATGAAAGGTCATGTGCATAGATATTTAAATCATGTACTTCAGTTAATCTAATTAACAACCCTGGACGATCATATTTTACGACCACTGGAATTCGCACTCCAGAATTCGATAATCTTCAATAATTCGAGTTATAAACTCCCCAGCCATGAAGAAAGCAGGAAATCTAATGTTTATGGACAGTGAGCGCTCAAGAAAATATAAGTGAAATAAAAAAATCATGCAGAATTAAGAAGCATAGAATGATAGATGCATACGCGGCAGTGGAAACGATTTTGGGCGATATCACCCAGACTCTAACCACTGGTTACGATGATCACTTGAACCCTAACCAAGTAGTCAACACTTGTTACATGGCTGTCTAAATGTCAATGGCTTCATGGACTGATACCATGTTTTGTTTTAGCCACCTTTGGCTTTTTCCAAGTATTTTGCAACACCAAACATCCCCCATCGAAGTAAGCGTGCACGGGGATACTTGATAAATGTCCCAGTCACTTCAGTTGTCGAATATTTACTACCAGATTATTCGATTTGCTACCTTAACCTTAAACCCTATCACTAAACCAGGGATTCCTTACCTGGTGATCAAAAATACAAGAGCAATCCTTCGAAGACACCTATGATCGAATACAGGTAGCCTACGAATATCTTCCATTCTTAATGGACATACTTCACACTTGCAAGGTAGAGCGGAGCAAACTGCTGTGCATTGAACTCGCGCTTTGTTTGGGAAACGGATATCTCGCCTACTCCAAAAGTGGGCGAAAGCCAACCGAGCTTTCTAAATCCGTGTTGGAATTTCATCGGACACCATCTCATCAGAACTATACGTTTGTGTTGTATTGGTCAGGGTTGCTTACCGTTACGACCAACAGAACGATATCGACAAGGCTGCAGGAACACCCAGTAGATCGGTCGGTAAGTAAGAGCCAGAACATTTGAAGTTTAGTGGTGAAGTAGTACTGCTGATTTTGTGAGGCGTAGTAAGGATGTGTTTCATGAAGATAGCTAGAATTCTCAGTAATACTGCCTTGCTCCAACCAAAAAAGGGTTCAGAAAAACTGACTAAAAATACAGAGCACGTCGTGAGCTAGAGAAACACCCTGAGCTTATAAATCGAGAAGTTAGCAACAAACCAAGTGACTGCTATTAATTGAGATCTGTAGTTGCACTCAGAATAAAAATATCTCTAATACAACCTTTTATCTGAATCCTTCAAGAGGAAGCATCATTTTTATCGAATACTAGACCAACACATATCAAACCGACTAAAGGCCTTTAATATGAATATCACCACTCAAGCCGATGATTAAAGAAAGCTGTCAACCGAATATAATCTGTTCCCTAAGCACTTATTTTACTCAAATAATAAACAAGAATGGATGCAAATGATAATGCTGGAGGCACCTCATCAATATATATGCGACAGAAAAAATTGATGAAAAGTATCTGTTGTCGAACTTTTGTATCGCACATTTACGGAGGATGCATGTGTATAGCCAAAAATACTGGATGAAATACAAGGTAGTGCTGACGTGTGATCTTAATAGGGAAAATAAACACGGTCACAGGTCATTTAAATTCCAAGCTGTAGGGATACACAATACATGAAATTGGTACAAAATAGATCCTTGAATAAGAATAATATTAAGGTGTGAGAAAATTTTCCCATAAATTTCTATATATTGAATAAACAATAATACATGCAGCCATAAATTTAATCAACACCCACCTAAGGTTCTCAATCTTCCCTTATAAAGACACCAGTAATAAGAATTTTGGTCAACTGAACAGTTGACTCTCCATAAAGACTCGATTTGTTTATGAAAACATTTGCTAAGCGAGCCAGTCTTACCTCTTTAGGTGAAGAGTTACACACGTTGACAACTAGATGAGCAAAAACGGTTACCTAAGTTGAGTCAATTGTGATTCTTGTATCGTCCATGATGGCATAAGGGCTCATAAAATCATGATCAAAAAGCAACGGAGAATAAATGAACAAATAACGCTAACGGCCATAGAAGCAATTACTTGCCAAACAACTACCAACATTCATATTAAGGAATCAGAGGCTGGAAAGCTTCCATATAGTATATAGCATCCACACATTCTGTAGACAAGCAACCGAAAATAAGGTAATTAATTCAAAAAGGGGGAAATACAGGATACATCTATTATAGAAATAAGGGACAATATTGGAGGAACACCACAAAGTTTCCTTTTACGCTTGTTATGCGAAAGTAATGCGGGATTACAGTTTGTTGACATTGGGACCTAGCACCTACGTAAAAATACCTAACAATCGTTGCTTGAGCATCTGCCTACTGATCTCCATGCAGAACATTTTATTTTCAATCAATAAATGTGTTTGACTGTGTGTCATTTTCTAATGTAGTCGATTGCAGTTTACGTGTAGCTTGTCATAGAAATAAAGACGAGACATTTGGGGCCAAGCGAAGGATGGGCAAAAAAACTATAATCCCACACTATTTTCGCATTACAAGCGTAAAAAGAGACTTGGCGGTGTTCATCCAATATTTCCCCTTATTTTTAAAATAGACGATTCCTTTATTTTCCTTCTTTCGACTTTATTTCTCCATTATCGATAAATTATAAACCGCATTCAGAAAACGGCTTAAAGACGTGAGATAAACATATAAGACTATATACACTCGAATTCCTTTGTTGAAACAGACAAAATGTTTGCGATGGTAACTTTACATGACATAATAGCGGTTAACTGAAACCACAAATTAGTGTTTTGTGAATAACCGGTATCGTGACAATGAGTGAATAACACCGGAAAAACGTGAAAAAGTGAAAACGTAGTAAAATAACATAACTCAGTTCGACTTACAATGAGCGATAGCTCAGGATGAACAACCTGAAACAAGCTCTGCAACAAGCAACGAATGCCACCGCCGCATTTCAATGTCGCGCTATCCAATACCCAATATCTTTATCTCAATCTTAAGTCCTCAGTAATAAGGATAAGTCTATTGACCTGTATTATTCCTTGCAGTTTGTAATACTGTGGATGTCCAATCTCGTCTTGAATATATCAACAGAAGGTGCTGATATTACGTGTTCCGGTAGAGAATTCCAATAATTCACTACTCGATGAGAGAAACGAAACTCCAGACGTAAACGAGTGTCCTCTCAAACGATCAGTCCTAGACGGAAGTAAGTGATGGGACATGTTAATGCCAGGGTCATCGGTCAGTATACGTTAAGCCAATATTATATCACCCCGTATTCGATGGTAAGATAACGGAAATAAGTTGAGGTGTCTCAATCTGTCTTCATAAGGTAGTCCAGTTGGACCTTGTACCATTTTAGTATCTCGTCGTTCGACTCGCCCTAGCATATCTGCTTCATACTTAAAACAAGGAGTCGCTGCTTGAATTCCATATTCTAAATGTGGTCGCATATAATTAGGGTATAGTAATATAAACATTTCATCATCTAAATACTGAAAAGACCTACGAATAGACCATAATACCCCATAGCCTTTCGCAGCAGCAGCCTTACAGTGACGAGTGGTTTTGAGATTACTACTTAATATGACTCCCAAATCTTTATAGTTTCTTACTTTGGGTAGTACGAATCCACGTATTGTATAGTGATACGATTCATCGTTGTTATTTAATTGCATCACAACAATCTTTTTAGGATTTGCTTCAAGTGACCACCTGTCCAACCATACCACCAATGAGCTAAGATCATTCTGTAATACTATTCTATCCGACATATTATGTATGGGTCTCCAAATTTTTATGTCATCAGCGAATAGTAGAAAGGATGATTTTGCTACAGCTGGTAATTCATTTACATAAAGTATAAAGAGAAGAGGACCGAGGATTGTGCCTTGGGGAACTCCACCTTTTACAGGCACCCACGAGGAAAGAGCCCTATTACCACTTACCGTTTGTCTCCTGTCATGGAGAAAGTTACTTATCCAATCTACGACTGTAGAATGGATTCCGAAGCGTTCCCGTTTGAATTTAAAACCAGAAGGGGAGACCTTATCGAAAGCCTTACTTAGATCTATGAAGAGCACATCTACAGGAATATTCTTATCTTTTGCAGCAGCCCAATCTTCTCTTGCGATGAGAAGATTTGTCAAGCACGATAGGCCTCTCCGAAAACCATGTTGTTCCCTGGAGAAAAGATTATGCCTTTCAACATAGTTTATGACAGATATCCGGATGATTTTTTTCCATCAGTTTTACAACTGCACCAGTTAAGCTAACGGGTCTATAGTTACTAACTAAATCCCTACTCCCAGCCTTATACACAGGACTTATTTTGGCGTCTTTCCAGTCTCTGGGCAGTCTGGACTGCTTCAGAGACATGTCGAACAGTATCGCTAAAGGTTCAGCAATTTCATCTGATATGGCTTTCATAATCCTAGGATGAATATTGTCAGGACCAATGGACTTATCAGGTCTGATATGCTGAAGTAGCCTTGAAACAGTACCTTACTCAATGACCACAGGATCCATCAGCGAGCCGTTAGAACATAACGAATCCTTGTTCGTACCTCATTAGTGATAGAAAACACATTACTAAATTTTTCCGATAAAGCTTCCGCTTTTTCGATATCATTTTCTGTAAGATAAACGGATTTTCTTTTGTAAAAATTGGTCGAATTCCATCACTTCTCTGAGTTCACCTTTTTATATACGAGAATAACCGTTTCGGACTATATCTAGAATCCCTAACCAATTGCTTTTCGTATGATCGTATAGTCTTACTTATTAAAGCTTTACAGGCATTCCTAGTCTCACAATAACTGGATTGGTATTGTTCTAAGCCAGTAGAGACGAACATATTCCAGTGCATTTTCCTTCTTCTAAGAAGTTTCTTAACTGGTTTGGTTATCCATGGTGGAGTATTTTTCGGTCTTCGAGGTACCAGGTATGGTATGAACGAGGACGTAACTAAACTAAACTTTCCTTTAAATGCAGACCATGCTTCTTCAACTGATAAGCTAGTATCTACAAACGAATCTGTCTTAGCAGCGCATTCCTGAATGGCTGATATGTTAGCTTTCCATACACTTGGGCGGGGTGTGACCTGATCGTATAACATGTCCCTAGTTCTAAAGGAGAATGACAAAACAGCGTGATCACTGTTCACTAACGGTGGGAGAACATTTAGGTCGACATTATCTTCAATATCATGAGTGATTACCAAGTCGAACAAAGAAGAACCTTGGTTAGCACAAAAACCTGTAAATTTGGATACATGCTGCACTAATGCACGCTCCATTATTGTTATCAGGTACCTACTATCAAAGGGGTTTATAGATCGTTCTATGGTCATTTCAGTCCAACTAATGTCAGGTGCATTAAAGCTTTCTATTATCAAGCATCTGGCATTGGTACTACAAAGATGAATGTGCTCTAAAATAAAGTCATCAGCTGAGCAGACTGGGCTGCGATAGATGACACCGAGCATAAATATACTATATCCGATATTCAATTTATAGCTAACTTCACAAGTACCGCTGTCATGGGATTCTCTAGCAGAGAGTATATTTATATTATTGGCTACATATAAAAGGACGCCACCACCTTTTCTACATCTATGTCTATCTCTCCTTAGGTAATGGTATCCCGATAATTCTGGAGTAATGTCTAAGTCATTGACTAACCAAGTTTCTGTCACTGCTACGATGAATGGCCTTAATCTGTCCACAAATGCTTCTAGCTCATAGAACTTATTTTTTAGGCTACGAGCGTTGGCATATAAGACTCTTAGGTAGAACAGCCTATCCAAACAGGCCTTGGTAGCATTCGCTTCCAAGACCTGACTATCCGAAAACCCACTATCCGGAGATTTTCCTCACCATTTTGTTGGCGGATTTCTAGTTCACCTAGTGCTTTCTTTCTTTTTATTCTATCTTCGAGAGACAGGTCTAACTCGGATAACGGGATTGTAGTGACAACGAGCATTACTTAACAGGAGATCCCGTTGCTTCTCTGACACTATGATTACCTTAAGGAGTCTGCATGGTCGAGGTCCAGCATTGTCCTCGGTCCTCTTGCCTATTCCAACCAGCTTTTTGACCTGGTAAGATACTACGAATATATTCGCCCAGCTTCTCTAAATCATGTGCTATTCTAATTTTGTCCTCTGACTCCATACTGGCACAGAAATGCATGGCATTTCGTACAAATCTGTACGTTTAGACAATGTCGTTACTGAGAATCTGAATCCATTTGTAACATCAGTGGAAAATTTGGTTTTTGCCTATCTCTCGACCGAAGTCCACGCAAGCTATTACCTGACAACTGCATTCCGTGCTTTACCAGTGTCTGCATCAGATATACAATCTGCTTCCAAGAATGACACCACCATTAAGGGAACGATTAACTACATCACCAGTGGTTTGTCGTCTGCTAGTTTTGACAGTGATATCTTCGGGATTAACTGTGCATCATGAGCGAATACTTGGTATTTGGAGTGTAGGTGCCAAAATTTCTACGATTAAAGATGCCGAAGCAGTCCGATACTGGTCATCCATTGCTCCCATTTATGCATATTGGCCTCTAATGGACAAGCACGTGTAAAATTTGGTAGGCAAATGCACAGTGTCGACAAAAGGCGAAGTTAGACTCGAAGGTATCGTAGGTTTCATGTTCACAGCCTGAATATCTCTTGTCCAGGATATATGTTGACTTCACTGACCCAGTTAATGGAATTATTTATCTGCTTCCAGTTTATCCGTTTTCAAAATTATCAGTAATCCTTCCCATAATGCCACCAACGACGACCAAAGCACTACAGTACTAAGCTGAAATTTTCGCTGCACTGGATTACCTGGTGCAACCGTATCGGATAATGGTACGCAATTTGCTTTCAAATATTTCCAAGAATTCCGCTGACGGCTAACCTTCAAACACTTTTGATCCCAAATTACCGTCCAAAATCAAATGGTCAGCCACAAACGTTTCTGGACACGTGATGAGAGGAATAAAAGCTGCCTCCAAAATGACTTGAGGCAGGAACATCGTCAAGACAGGTATGTGGTTGTGGAAGTACTATATGCAGTTTCACGAGGCATATAACTTTTTACTTAGTTTTCACTTCAAATGGTTAAATCTTTGCATTTATCTTTAGTCTTCGGAAAGTCAACAAGTGGAGCTGAACAGCAAATCTAAATAAGAAACTTCTCCCCTGTATTATGAAAGCTCGTACAAAAATAAAGACTACAACATAAGCTGCTGCTTCTTCATACAGTCGTCTGTGATCATTATCGCTACGGAGTGAACTCATTCTATATCTTGGATAAGAGTATAAACTAAACAAGTAACAGAAATATTAGTAATATGAGATTCAACCGAGTGAATATTAAATTAACCACTATGAATAAACTACTTTTTATCTGGACTCAACATAAAAGTATTGGTTAAACTGTCTAGAAAGGTTCTTCTCAGAATCCCTCGGTATACAAAACTAAGACTAGTGTATGTCTGTAAAACTTTCGAGTTCTGTCAGTATTGGTCTTGTTATATGCCGACGAGTGGTCACTCACAACACAGAATACAACTAACTCCAGACGTCCTACCTAGGAAGAAATTTAGATTTAGCATCATTGATGCCCTACAATCTAGGATGAAATATTTCCTAGACCACTGTTCAAGTCTTATTAATGAAAAAACAGAACAATTTAATGTGTAATCAGCTAAAAGATCTCTTTTTTATCTTTGTCACTTCCAAAAAGGAGATACTAAAGTAAAACTAAGTCAATCGACATTAGTAGTTTTCGTAGTGTTTTATTACAGAAACACTACCGAAATGAACCTCTATAGATGTGAAGATAATAATATGAAGAATTCAAGGATTTATTGTATTACGAATACTTAGCCAACTTATTTCTGTAGTTTTATTCGAGAGCAAAATAGTTAGGTGTAGATACTGATGGTAACAGAAAACATTTCGTAAAAAACGAATGGTTAAATCTCCAAGTATTTAAGACGACACATTGACTTAAGTGGATTCGCTAAACATTTTGATAAGAATGCATGCCTTTTACTTGAAACTTCACTATGGGTGACTGGCTGAAAAAATAAACAGATACATTTCGAAAACAAGGAATAGAAATAATAAATAATTTTTCGTGATTTCCTAATGAGTACAAAATTGTATTTTTAATCAATAGCATATTACAAAAATATATTTGTAAATGACTTTATACATTAAAATTAAAACACGAAGTTCAACGAATTTATTATCAAGCTGTACAATCGTATATATATGAGCTATCACGTAAAATCTTGACATTGATATCAAAAAAAAGTACGAAGTAATGGTAAAGATCAATACCCAAAAAGAAGAAATGAATACAACTGCATTCCATCCATAAAAAGTTGAGTCACAAATAATTGATTAGAATCATCGTGCATATTTGCACCTCAAAACATTTTAAATTGAGGAGGAAAATAATGTGCTAACAGAACTTTATTTTGTGATGCATGAATTTAGTCTTATTCTCGTGATTTACTTAGTTAGAATCGAATACGTAGAGACTGAAACATTGAAATACATAGAATTTCTTAATAGGAAACAGTAAACTTACACATTTTAATCCTATGTCAACTTGTTATTTAGGAACGACAAATATTCTCAATTGTATTAGTCATTAAAATTCGTCGTCTCTTCTATTATATTCATATCACAGAACTTTTAGTGGAATAATGAAACACATATGTACACTATAATATCTACAGCGACAATATTTCGTGAAAAAATGTTAGTCGCCAATATAAAAAATAGATTTCAGTCTGAGCTTGTAAGTGGAATGTGATGATCTTATTAGTTTATTACATAAAAACAATTGGTCATTTGGTAATTAATATGAAAAATTGTTTCAACGACAAATAACTTTTTTATATGTCCTTGCCTTTGTATTATAAATACTTACCAAACTATTTGTGAAAGAATTATAAATAGAGTAATGTTAGTGTTTTCAAGTATTAATTCATGTACCTGCATCTCAGAGTTGGTGTCAACTCCGGGAATTGAACCCAGTGCTGCTCGTTCCAAACGCCATCGCATTATCCACTCAACTATGTGGGCTCAGCAGCGAAATGAAACAAAACGCGCGTTCTGGATTCAACTACTAGCCAACATCTATCCTTGCTCATAATGTTATAAGCTTGCAACCTAATATATAATTTCAATGGTTAAGATCATGAGTCAGTTGAAGACAGACCACCATGGAAAACCTGGAAGCACTGGACGGCCGTTTCGCGAAACCAGTAGGTCCTGGGTTTAAATCCCGCAGGGGGCCAGGTCACGGATGCGCACTGCTGAGGAGTCTCACAATGGGACGAAACGGTCGTTCAGTCCTTCCAGGTTTTCCATGGTAGCCTAGCTTCAACTGACTCATGATCTTAACCATTGAAATTACTATAATATCGGCAAAACCCATCTGATATTAATATATAATTGTTGATAACTTAGTATTTGTTGTGGACAAAAAGAAGTGATTGATATGTTACATTAAATTTATGGGCAGAATTAAAATGAAGCGAATTTCTATTTCAATATCATACAACTTAACTTAGGCTCTCTATTTACCAGCTGTGTAATAATAATAATATAACGAACAAAGCTCCTTAATGAATTCAACAAATATTATTATTGTAAAAAATTTGTAACTAACACCGTTTTAACGGAAATGATTGCATCCAATAGTCATGACTAATATTTCGTTAATAGAAAAAGGTAAATCACTTTAATAAAATAAATTTAATAAAATCCCACTACAGTGAAAATGGCTATGTAAAAAAGTCTTCTTTATCTGTTTATGATTGCTGACTAGTAGTGATCGAACCAATTATTTATAAGGACAGACGAGATTGGGAAGACAAAATTAATAGTAAAATAAAGCGACAAAACCACATGTTAAATGAAATTACCATTGATATTTTAATGTTAAACGAGAACAGTGACAGAAGAAATTATATACACATATGAGAATTATATATATATATATATATATATATATATATATGCTGGCAAGATAAAAGCAATAACAACAAGGCTGGCCAAAAGATTAGTTTGCTATCATCACTGATATACAAATAGGAGCAAAGAAATCTCTTAAAATTTGGAAATTAGAAAAAACCGGAATGTATCACATATAGGTTAGTAAACAATTTTTGTTAATGAAAGCAGGCAAAGAAAAAGTAATTCCTACTACATATAACCTAATGTTTATGATGTGATTGAGAAAATTTATACATGTACTTACTTTTTAAGTAAGTTAACATCATTATCAATGATAACAAGGGATTTTATCATGAATTATCAACATTTTTCATTATCATCAAGATAATCTGCTAAAAATATTCTAAATGATTCTTGACCACTTTTAGCGTCAACGGTTGATAAGAATTCTGACTCCAGTAGTTGAACATAATTCGGTCTATCATCCTTGTTTTTCATAAGACATGAATCAATGAATTTACGTAGTGAATTCGGATAACAACTTGATTCTGGCAATTGTGGTGATGGTTCGTGAACAACCTTAGAATAGAACCACATCAATTAGATTAGTTTTTCCTGGTAATCATATGATTGACAAATTTAAATGAATATACACAGAAATAACTTACTGATTTGGTTTTTCATATTTCAAATAATCTTTTATAAATCCAACTTATAGAATTGTTTAAACCAATCAAGAGTTTCAAGATACGTTATACATCTTAGTGCTTACTCTGGTATGATATAACATTGTGAGAATCGTTTTTAGGTCCTGCTGATAAGAACGCGGTGAAGCTTTTATTGGGTTGATCACATATTTTTCATAAATCATAAACGATAAGTCATGTACTTGTGCCCCCAAATGCTCTGGTATGGCCGAGAGTGGGAAGAGTCCGCTCACCCGCTCGAAATGCTCTCACACGGCCACGCGTATACAGCCTCTGCCAGGGAAGTCCTACTCACTGCCTTCTCGTGGCGGGGGTGTTGTTTACGAAATTGAGAGGACGAAAAGCGAATGCCCGGCACTTCAACCGGATCCCAAACCAATGGTGCACATGGGCTCCAGTATCCTGAAGGAACAAATGGCGTATGAACCAATTTTTGGTCATCGGCTACCATGGGACTGCATCTCCTTACGATGCTCCACTGTCTTGTGGGTCAGACCTTCAGGTCGAAGGCTCGGGGTGTGGTCCCCTAAGAAAACCACCTACTTCGGTCTGGGCACCCGGGCAGTATCACAGCCCTCATACATATCCAATGAGATTTGTGTGGCGCATATCTATTTGGTGCATCCTTGTACCAATATCTATGTGCTAAAATAATAATAATAAACTAGTCTCTTTTGTTGTTATTTGACTATTAGATGAAAAAAAGTCCCTAACATTTTTTTGAGGACCTCGAAAATGTCACAGATCAATAGGAATTTTTTAGATCATTTAGTCTAGATGTGGATTAAAATGTAGCATTTAATAAAATATTTGACTACAAACAAGAACATCTGAACACAATGAAGGAGAAACTGAGGATGGTTCACATACCAATTGTAAGATGATGTTGTAGGGTGCGTTTACTAAGACACATTTGAACATCAAAAATGAAATGGTTGAATAGGCTGAATAATTCACATATTTGGTGGTGGACAAAAATGTCATCAAAAAACTTCGTTAAGATGTCCAAACGACAATCAAATAATTATTGTAGGTTACGTACGGTCTAACTTTGACAAGAACGCCGACGATGAATGGGATAAAATTAAACGCATTGGATCATTTGTGTCTTCCAAGCTACTTCGGCCGGAGTACATTTGCGCTAGATCCCACAAACTTGTACTTAGAAGCCACATAATTCGTCAGGTAAAAGAATATGAAGATCATCATCATAGTTTAAGATAATGCAACCTGAATGTGATAGCCTACAAGAAGTTGGAAAGCTGTTAACGCCTTTGGTTATCACACTAATATGGTAGTGTTTAAATTTCTAAGTATTTTGTCACAATGAATTGCATAAAATAAACAATTGAAGCAAACTGTAGGTATCATTACCAAGGTTTGATTTGATAATTTCGAATAAATTGAGCATTGGGTTGATTGTTATAAATAAATAATATATTTGTAATTTTCTACTCATGTGGATATTACAAATATATTATTTATTTATAATTGAAGCAAACATTTGTCAGTAAACCAGTGAAATAATGGGCGATTGGTTAGTAATATACGTATTCAGATGTAACGCCTGATTAATAAGCACCGAATCGCCATCACGTTGATTAATAAACGGGATAGGGATTATTCTACGAATGTAATTATTCGTAATAAAATAAACTTCCAAATACAAATGGAATGTATGCTAATTGATGAAGGATCTATGAACGTTAGATAAGATTGGACTGCTGAGTTTTGCACTAGTGGATTAGATATGACGTAATTTGATTAAACGATTATTACAAAATTATAGAGACATTAAAAAACATAATTACCTGGACCAATTGCTGAAATACATTTTGCGATTGAGGATAGCAAGGTTTTCCAGTTGCTAATTCAAGTACACTCAAACCAAGCGACCATACATCTGAACGAATACAAAACCCTTCATTCTCTCGTGTATTAATTCGCTCCGGAGCTAAATAAGCCCTTGTCCCTATGTTGGTTAATGCGATTGAATTTTCTAAATCGGCTGATATTCCAAAATCACAAACCTTATTCATCAAACGGAAACAAAAAGAGTTAAAATGTTATAAAGTGATTGGACTTAAGGTTGAAAATATTCCTGTATCACAAACAATCAATTTATTTAATAAGAAAATACAATACATAATTAAAGATAATAACTAATGCAATTATTTTAACTTTTTGTCTTACCTTTACACGGCCTTGACAATCTGCAAGCATGTTTGAAGGTTTTACATCACGATGTATAACTTCAAGTTGATGTAGATATTCCAGAGCCTCAACAACCGATAATACAATGTACGCTAGGACGTCGGTAGGAAAAGTACGACCACGGTTGTAAACCTATGAAGAGTAATCATGGGAACGGAAAGTGAATACATGCTATAACAAAGTCGAAGAAGTCATACAAAATGTTACACCCATTTGGAAACAACTCACTTTCTTTAATAATTTGTCCAAAGATGTATCCATTAACTCCATAACAATAAGAACATCACCTTCACAAAACAGACCACAGTAACAAGTAACCACAGATCGGTGATTACAGCGTGTACCAACAGCCAATTCTCGAGAAATAAGAGGTCTTGAGAGGTAATTCAGATGAACGGAAATGTGTTTGACAGCAAAAACGTGTGACGTGGGTGTATGGATCATTTTTTCTACTCTTCCGTAATATCCAGATCCTAAAGAATAGAGGTTAAATGGCTACTGAAAATTCAAGCAAATTCATGATGAAGAATGAATACAGGAAACAATCATCAAGTACTCTCTTCTGAGAATACAATTATTGTTAAGCCATATCAATAACTAGATGTGGATATGGTAACATTTTGAATTTCGATACATAAACTCAAAAATCATATTAGGTTTATTCAACGATAGTGAGGGACAAGTAATTATGTACCATCATCTATCTAATGAAATTATGTAAAACCGATGTTTTATCAGACTAGTGAATGAAACAAATATTGGATAACATTATTAAGATAACAGGACTGCGTTCACACTTTTTCACAATGAACTGACTGAAAGGAAATAAATTTTGGCAGTTGCAGTGATTCAACTAGAATGTGTCATACGCCACTTCCCAAGTTGATATGAATACTTAAATCCTCAGTAAATAAATTGAATCATGATTTTTGACTAATAGCTCATCAGCAGTGCATTAATATCGGTTTTCATGCAACAGAACTCCTTCAACGTAGCCGAAATACATGTGTTAAGAAAGTGAAACATAAGTTACAGAAAGGCTCATCCCGAATTAAAATAAAGTGTTGAAATTCTATTAAGTTGTACGGTGAATTTTATTTACTGAAATAGTGAATAAAGTAAACTGGTCTATTCTTACATTAGTTTAACACTACAAATTTAAGCAGTATAAATGGTATGATCAATAGTTGGGATCATACGAATATATAACCTAGAAAAACATACTAGGTGATAGAAAAGTGTGAATTTTAGTAGACACGCAAAATCATTATTAACATTCAGTGACTGATTCAGAAATCATTAACTCCTAACCGTTAGGAAAGAAAAACAAACCCAATGAGCTAACTGGCAGGTATGTTGATAAAGTAAAATAAGTTGATAATAAGAAACATTAAACTTTGTGTTACCATGAAGACCTTTACAGAAAGCAGTTGCAAGGCAATCAACAAGACTAAGATTTACAAAACTTAACCCTAGATTTATTTGAACACGTAAATATTGGTACAAAGGAGCACCGAATACAGAGGCGCCACACAACTCACTTAAGTTGCGAGTCGGCTGCAATATTGCCCGGTGCCCAGACCTAAGCGAGTAGTTTTCTTGAGGGGCCACATCCAGAGCCTTTGCACTAAAGGTCTGATCCACAAGTCAATAAAACAACGTCAAGAGATGTAGTCTCATGGTAGCCGGTGACAAATAATTGGTTCACACGCCATTTATTCCCTCAGGAACCTAGAGCCCATGTGCACCATTGAGCGTGCTTTGCATGTGGACAAAATATTATACCGCATACGCTTACCTTAAGAACAGAAAGGATACAAATGTATTTCAAGAGACCGTCTTGACTCATGATTTAATGCGAAAACATCATGTCACAGTAATTAATATGGACCGTACGGACATTTTAAGAGTGAAAAAATATCAACATCTTAAAATGTCCAAAATACTCATGCTAATGATACCAAGTAGTCTAAGATGACAAATCAAGGTCGAAAACCAAACAAGTTCTCCAATTATTACAGCAAAGAAATCAAACGTAACACATCCTAGTTCCAAAATGCAAACTTAATTTGGAACCTGATCCAAATCTATATCCAAAGCAAACATGATCATGTGAAAAACCATGAGTAACTGAGTGATAATGAACTCAACTCTCACAATTCTAATCCTGCACCAGGAGATCAAGTAAAACGGAGCGTGAATTATTGTTTTTACTGACGTAATCCATGATGTAAGGCGCATTTGTTTACTTGTCGGTTTCGCTGGCTTATATGAAATATGTAAAGTTTTCTACGATGAAGATACTACTCTATTATGCTATAGTGTGTCAAATGTACAGCAGTCAGTTCTGACAGAAGAAAAGTCACAACATAATGGACATGCTTCCAAGTAATTCTGTAATAGAACTTATCTCAAAATATCTACAATTCAGCGATTAAATAAACTAAAGCATAATCGTAATTACTGACAGCGACACACTTGGATGACTCAAAAACGCGGAATTTATTTTCAGTTGTTAATACTATATGAACGTAAACATGACCATTATTTCAGTTTGCGTTACATTAAGTTTACGTGACAATGTTGAGTTTAAAACCAGTCGAAACTGAAAACGCCGCCTCGATATGTTGCTTTCAGATTCAGATAACGTAATTGCAGCTATAAATGACATGCAATCGCACGAAAAGTACATATAATCACAAAATATGGGATTAATCAGAAAGTAAAATAGTAAAAACAAATAAACAGGAATCACCTAGATGAGCTATCTTTCGTAAATCCTTTGCGTGTATTGTAATGTCTTCAGAACCTAGTAACATTTTTGCCTCTTCTTTTAATCCCAAGGGAAACAGTACAGGATCACGCACTGGTTGTCTACAAAAATAAGGAAAGTACATGAGTCTAGGAAATCTTTGAACCAAGATCCTCTTACATCAAAAGCATTTGACTAATTAATTGGTAAATGAAGTCTGCAAATAAAAAATGTGAGCTTCGTATTTTCCGAGTTTGATTCGTATTCGCAAGACAGAAAAAAGCTTGTACCACAGCTTACTATTCATAGTAAAACGAAAATATTTTGCAAATATATTTACTAGACATGAACTAACTGCACACAACATCATTATTATGCTTTATCACTATTGCAATCAGTGTTCGTTCGACCATCAAAATCGGGTATAGAGCTTTAGTGCTTTCAGCATTGCTACAAGACGACCATTTCACTAAGCGTTTTGATATCACAGATTAAGAACATGAGACAACGATAGAGGTTACTGGTGAATTGGGTTTGTTCAACCGTCTTCCAAAGCTTCAGGAATTTCTGAAAAAATAATTTGATTGGTTGACTAGTCAAAGCCAATATTCTCCATAATGATGACTGAGATGAAACAGAAAATCTAGTATTTGATCACAGAAATATTGCTAGCATCATCGGGTCAGAAATAATGAGGTTAGACACAGAGAGTTAGGGAATGATGGTATATCAGTTGATGAGGTAGTAAATCTTCATCGACTGAGATGGTTGGGTCACGTGTTACGTATGCCTGAACACCGAGAACCATGACACGCAATGTTGACAAGTGTTGGAGATGGTTAGAAGTTAGGGGCGGCCAAAACAAAAAGTGGCATCAGTCATCAAAGCTACTAACTTTTAGTTTGAGCCATATTGGTAAATGCAGACTACTTAGTTGAGGTCCGCGTGACTGTTGTAACTAATGGTTGGAAACACTAGGTGACATGGCTCAGAATCGATCACAGTGATGTCGGTGTATGCACTCTTTGTCACCCCTTAAACGGTGAGGTTAAAATCGCTCTATACCTTTGTCCTGACGAACTAAACCTCCCTTCCTGTATATCCTTATACACAATCTTTCTTTTATGTATTACTACCATTGAAGTAACTACTTCTATGAATTTAGTGTTTACTTTGTTGTGCTAATGAGGTGTGGCAACTTCGGCTAATGCATATATGTGCCTGGTCCTACGTTGTAGCTGACTGACTGAGTGGGTTCGCTAGATCTTGCATTTTTTGTGTGAAAATAATGTGAGAATAAGATCGTGATACTTCAGTTTACTCATCAACCGAACGAAGCGGATTATCAAGCTTCATACGATTGAAAAAAACTAATTGCTTATGATCCGAAATTTGTTAAAAGTTCCGATTGACTGTGAGTAAAATTCTTGCAGTATTCTGCAAGCGAATGCTATGATAAATTTTAACTATTCAACGACTGACTTTAAATTCATTTTTATTACGTGACATTAGGTTGGTTGAATCACTACAGGACACTTTTGTTGGCCTACAAAATACGAGATTCCCAAAACATAATCAGGATCTAGAAATGTTATACTGATTATAAAGTCCAACTAAAAATACTTGTCTATTTGTTATAAATGAAGTTAGCATTCATCTATTTCATGTAAGAAAAACAAAAACCAACAGTGAGGCACCAGGAAAGGGGGTTACAATGGATAGCGCTATAAACCGAAGTATATTGAGTTTTGAATGAATGCATCCACACCATAATATAGCACTCATATGTAACACTCATCTTACGATTATACAAAATAAGATTCCCTAAACACGATTTTAAAAATTGGCAAACTTCTTGAAACCTTTTGCTTACCCAAAATTAAATATGTAAATGCAAGCTTTCTAAGATACCTCTATCATTTTCATCAAAAACCGTTAGCGTGACTTAATGAAGGATTCTAACAACACATATAAATCAGTCAACGATGAAACTGACAAACACCATAATTAAAATAACCCACTGTCATTGAATAGAAATAAAATGAATTTAGCGAAAATCTTTTCGACGAAATCACTTACTCAAGCTGTACATTCGTATAGTTGTATGGAAAATATGTCTATAGAAGGATAGAAAAGATTGCATCATGAAGTGATACGGGACTCTAAATATCAATATTATCTTCTATAATTTTGACCGGTAGATTATTTTCATCTTTCTATTCTTCCCTGATCTCTGATTATTACGCAGTCTCACTTTATATTTAGAGTCTCATATCGCTTTATGATGCAACCTTTTCTATCCTCCTACTGAAAAACCAAAACTATGAATCTAGAAATAGAGTAACGTGCTTTCACTCTCAAATATCTTGAATTGAATACTCACAAAAATTTGTGCAGTCGAACTTTGATGCAATCTAACAGCTCCTATCCTTTTAACTGGAAAAAACTTAAATAGTATTCTCCTCAATAAAGTACGTAGAAAAGGCTTGAAAGCAGCCACCAAACTCAAAAGAACCCTTTGACTGCCATGGGCTTCCTCCAGAAGTATTTTGAGAGTTGCCTTAATTGGCTTAACACGCCCTAAATTTCTAAAGAATACCTTAAGACTCAACCGGACAAAAACCGATGCTAAAAACCATCTCATACGTCTAGTGATGAGACTTTTTTGAATAAACCCGGTGAATACACCAAC